GAATCCGAACTTCGGGAAACAAATCGTTTGTCTCCTCTCACTCTCTTTATCTTTGTGATTGTGATGCTTATCTCCTTATTTGCCTAGTTGTGCTATCATGTCTCCCATTGTATGATCACTTGTGCTATCTTGTGTATTTTCATGTGTATTACTCTTGTTTGAGACATGTTGTACCTCTCTATGGTTTAGGCTTCCTTGTGATTTAATTTACTTGTTGTGAGGTGCTTGAAATAGCAATTAACAACTGCCCGGAAGTTCCTAGGAAGAACCCCGGAAGTTCCGGGCAGCTTTCTCTGCTTGTGAGAAAAAGCTGCCAGGAAGTTCCGGACCTTTTGCCAGGAAGTTCCGGGCCCTGATTTTAACCGTTGTGTTTTGAAGTAAATTTTAGGAACGCCTATTCACACCCCCCCCCTCTAGGCGACATCAAGGCCCTTTCATTGTCGACCACTCCTTGTCTCTACGGTCCTCACACCAAGATCGACCAGTCGAGAACGACAGCAACTCCGACATCAGAAGTCGCGATCGGTTACATGAGTTCATTTAAGCTGAAGTCGGGGGCTACTGTCAGGGTTACGGATAAGGTATACCCTCTACCCTTGGATGTACGCTATACGGCAATATGGTACATCTGCGCGTGTACGGACATTCTCTCTATACGCTAAGGAAATCTATCACGAAGTCCACCAATGGAAAGGTTCCTACCCATATAGGACTGGGTCGTCACTATATCGTGCAGGGTCCGATGTCTCCGAGTCCTACTTGGAGACCACCTGACCTGCGATATAAAAGGGACCCCCCAGGAAGACCTAAGGCATCGAATCTCATAGCCAACACAACGACCACAGCCTACGAAGCCGGAGCCTACAGGAGCCAAGTCGATGGGTGATCTAGTCGAATCAACTCGACTACGATCTCGTCGGTATCATCTAGTTCCATTATTCCCTTTGTAATTTGTGGTTCTCTCCATATAATCCCATATCAACTGGATTAGGGCTATTACCTATTAAGGGGCCTGAACCAGTATAATCGTTGTCTCTTGTTTCCTTGATGTCGTACTACGTAGATCCTCGTACCAGCGTACCCCAATACCCTCTATATCCGGTCTACGGGTACCTACCGTCGACAATATTATAAAAGTAACTTAAAACAAAACAGAAGTAATTTTGTCACGACATTATAAGTAAATCATTTGTAGGAATAAAAATATGATTTTATCTAGAAATTAAATTTAATCAGCAGAGATCAACACACATAAGTTTAACAATTTTTAAAAGTAACTTCAATGTTAATTGGAAGTAACTTTTGCATGGTTCAAAAGTAACTGTCTATAAATCTATTTAATCATCGATAGTTTCTTTCCTTACATTTTTGTTTTTCATGTAGAATGAGAAAAGAAGATACTATTGTTTTTTTCAAGTTGAAAGGAGATACAAAATAGAGTACAAACTAGTTACCACTAGCTATGTAGTCACTTCCAATTAAAAAAGACATTCATTAAAGTTACTTAGTTTTTGTTATAAGTTACTTCTATAATATATGTAAATTAGTTTTAGGCTTCATTGAATTTACTTTTACATATCTAAGAAGTAATTTAGATATATTATAAAAGTAATTTATAATTTTTCATCAGAATATAGTCATGTGAGATCTTGTTATAAAGATATAATTGTTACAAACACAACGGTGCAATCGGTTCGTAGATCGGATGAGTAGTTTAAGAGAAAATTATATTTGAAGTATAGGTAGATAATGTCTCTTATAGATGGAGTGGAACTAGCTACCACTAGCTGTGTAGTCACGTCCTTTCTCTTTCTATGTGGCATATTACCATATTTTATGGGTCCATATTAAGCTAATATGGTATTTTTTGGATAATGCCAAACGTCATGGACTAAATTACGATCCCTTTAGTGTACAGTAGAGCTTATATGACTGATGACAACAAGAACATGTAGACTCTCAAAGCATGACTTGGCAGAGAGAATGAAGGGATGAGGGACTGGGAGCGGGCAACTATATAATCGCCCGACTACACACGCACTCCAAGAATGACACACCCACGCTACCAGGCGCGAGAGTGATAGGTCATCTGCAGTACAACAGAGTTCCTGTGGAATAGTGATCTAAGTCTGCTACAGTAACTATCGCATGGTACTGTAGCAAGAGTCCTTTAGCAACAGTGGTCGAATTTTACTCTCGAGTCTCCCAGAGGAACGGCATATTCGATGCCACGTCCATCACAGACGAAGCCCCATGAGTAGGGGTGAAAACGGTACGTAAACTTTCCAGATTCCAGATCTATTTTCAAAAACGGAATCTGTCGGTCGGAATTTTTTCGGAAACAGAAACGAATTCGAAAATATTTTCTCCGAAACGGAATCGAAAATTATAAGGGCAGTTTCTGTCGGAACTCGGAATCGGTCGGAAACTTTCCGGAAATTTTCTCGGAATTTCCGGAAATTTTGTGACTGAGATAGCCTGGATTCCTTTTTTTAAACCACTTAATAGTGAATACCATGGTGTCAGGCCGAAAATATCATTGTTGTGAAAATATCATTGTTGTGAACAGTGGTTTCCGTCCGTTTCCGTACCGTTTTCACCCCTACACCACGGTCAGCAACGTCTCCTGCATTTGCCCCGACGTCCGTCAGTCCGACGCCCTCGTCCATCCAAGCCTCCGAGGCTCTGACAGCGTCCGCCAGGTCGCCACCTCGACCACCCAGGCCTCCACCCTGGGCTGCATCCCCCTATGACCACCATCATCGGCTCGTCGCCCGTTGGATCCGTTGTGGCTGCCGCCGCCGTCACCCGCTGCATCTGCCATGGCCACCGCCACCGTCCGTGTTCCCCGCGGCTAGCGCTCCTGCCATCGTTCGCGTCGCTGCACTCACCCTCGCCCCGTCCCGTGTGGCAGCCACTCTTGCCTGTTGCCGGTAGCCGTAAGGTCGCGCCCTCTCCCCCTCCATCCGCTGCGGCCGCCGCCCTCGCCCTCGCTCTCTTCCCGTGTGGCCACTGCTCTTGCCCGTCGCCCGTAGCCGCAAGGCTGTGACCCTCTCCCCCTTTATCCGTCGCGGCTGCCGCCGCCCTCCATGCGTCCCCCGCGACCGTCGCCCTCACCCTCGCAATCGCCATGGCCACCGCTGACACCACCCCCACTCTCCCCGCTCTGGCGTGCTCCTAGGTCCCGTCTTCACTGGCCGCTTGAGAGTTGCCTTCATCGTCAGAGTAAAGGAAAGGAAAGGAGGAAGAAAAAGAAGAGATGGAAGAAGAGGGTGTGGCTAATGGGCGATCGATCCCCATGCCCCCTGTACACACCTCTCCTCTCCTCCCCTTCTTCTCTTCCTACTATACTATAAATTTTAAAAAAATAAAAAAATAAAGTTAGAAAAAATTATGTATAGAAATACTATATATAAAAAATATTTGAATTTAAATTTAAATTTGAAACGGGTATGTAAACTTTTGACTTATAAACTTTGGGTTTATAAACTAATATTTGAATTCAAATTCAAATTTGAATCGTGTATATAAACTTTTGACTTATAAACTTTGGGTCTATAAACTTTAGATGTATAAATTTTATATGTATAAATTTTATATGTATAGAAATACTATATGTAAAAAATATTTAAATTCAAATTCAAATTTGAATCGGATATAATTCAAATTGAAATTTGAATCGGGTATGTAAACTTTTGACTTATAAACTTTGGGTCTATAAATTTAGGTGTATAAACTTTAGATGTATAGAAATACTATATATAAAAAATATTTAAATTCAAATTCAAATTTGAATCGGATATAATTCAAATTCAAATTTGAATCGGATATATAAACTTTTGACTTATAAACTTTGGGTGTATAAACTTTAGATGTATAGAAATACTATATATAAAAAATATTTGAATTCAAATTCAAATTTGAATCGGATATATAAACTTTTGATTTATAAACTTTGGATTTGTAAACTGTATATGTGTAAACTTGAGGTGTATAAACTTTAGGTTCATAAATTTACTAAAATAGAAAAGTAATGTGGTGCCAAAAAAGAAAACCACGTGGAGGAGAGGGGGGAAACCGATCGCTCCTGGCGATCAATCGCCAACTAGGAGTTTCGGGAAGAAGATGATGGGCCCTACAAAAAATAATAGAATATTGGTATTAGAGTAAACAAGATATTTCTATTGTATGCATGGGCTCTATTATTTACTATAGGTGACATGGCTACCTATTGCAGCCAGTACTGAGTTGTGTTATTGAACTTGCTTTTAGAGCAAGTTTAATAGTATAGCTATCTACTAGCTACAAATCATCTATAGCCAATGTAATAGCCAAATCATATAATAGTTGCTTACTATACTATTAATACCTAGTCCCACCTGTCAAACACACATTACATCTTGGAGTCCGTGCTGCAACTAGCTACAGATCTGTAGTCCGTTGCTCTTATCTCTCTTCTTTTATCTCTTTAAAATACGTTTATAGCTGGTTTATAGCTTGTTACGTACACTAGTAACCGTGCACGTGCAATGCACATTCCCCACATTATGTAACATTAAACATATAAACACACTTAAACTTTGACGTGTTTTCCCCAATACATGACACAAAAAATGTAGTTTGAGAATTATATCTATTGTAGTGTAATATAGCACAACTTAATAACTCCCTTTTAAACACACGGTAAAAAAATTTGGAAAGCAGCCAGTGAGGATAAAATCATCCAGCAGCCGTCAACTGGAAGTATTTAAGCCATTAAAAACCCTTTGGCAGTTATCAGAAAATGGGGAACAATTATCCCTAATCAAGTAACCTGTGGCACCTATTAGAAATGTTTCAGTTATCAACCCGATAATTCATTTTGTTGAGGCATTAAACTAAAGGTTGATAAACGGTGCATAGCTATATATCAGTATATTATTCTTCCTCTGTCCTCCCTCTGAGTGTTAAGTCTAGCCATTCATCGGTGGAGTACATATCAAACATGCAGAAAATATACAGAAGGTAAAAAGTATCCAATAATTGATTACATATTTGTGCTGCTCTATGATAAAAAGAAGAGATTTACCTTCCCCTAATTCTGATTACTAATAATTACCAAGCCATTACATCGTACAGTACACATTCACTTGACACTTAAAACTCACAAAATAGTAGACTACCTATCAGTTAACTGAATGGATAAAACACTTTTAACAGTACATAACCTACCTCAAATGGCATTGTAGATAGTTACAAATCTCTCTTCCTCTTCTGTTGTTCCAAATCTTTCAATTGCAATTAAAAGTTGTAGAGGAATGGGCAAGGTACAGGAGGTGTTTGTCAGTGAGCCGAGGCCAAGCAGAGAGAGGAGAACAACAAAATTTGCATCAATAGGACATGAGCTAACTGACAACATATATGAGTGAATGTTACCAATCTGCAAAACAAAACTTTTAGAACAATATGTGAACTTATATTGAACATTATTTAAGTTTTATTGTGAGCAAATGAAAGCATAATGTATAACGTTAGGATTATACCTCACCATTAAGATTCATTCTTTCTGATATGGGGAGGAAGACTACAGCTGCTGCACTGAATCTTGAATCATGTACAAAGGTAAATCAGATTGAAAATTGCATTTATAATTCTTTTAAATTCTTCATTTAGAGTGCAAATGAAATAATACCGTGAGATATTGAGGATAGTTCTCAAAAAGATACTGGGGATATATTTGTTGCCAAACCGTCAGGACATACAACATTAAAAACATATGATTTCTACATCGGCAAAAATATGCAACACAAGCAATCAAATTTGGGAAGCAAAGAGTTGCCCGGGTGGATGTGCAGATCATAGTAAGACAATACATTCACTGGAAGCTGCATAGCACCTTGAGATCAGGTCTGTGTTAGCAAACCGATTACTCCTGCAGTTCAAGAACTGTGAACACCACCAAACACGGCCGCATCAACAACTGTCACCTGCTGCCCTTCTTGGAAAAACAAATATATGAAGAACATGATTAAATGACACATCAAAATATGATAGCATGAATGCAAAGCAATTCAATGACCTGAATCATCTCATCTTCATGCTGATGTATGTGTGTTCTGGACTTCTGGTAGAAAGCTGGAGCATCCGAAACATAAAACTCAATTAAATCTCTAATGTGCGGCGTGGTTGCGGCAGAGGGCTCAGCGTGCTCACAGCGTCAACGACGGCAGATGTGGGCTCGACATGGTTGTGGAGGAGAGCACAGCGTGGCCGTGGGTGCGGGTGTGGGGTGAATGAGCGATTCTTGCGGCTGCGGCGGATGGGGAAGACCACGGTTCCGGTGGTGGCTGGGGACGACTCGGCTCCGGCGGCGACTCGGGACGACGTCAACTCCGGCCACGGCTGGCCGCGGCGGATGGGAAGACCACGTCTCCGGCGGTGGCTGGGGAAGACCTCGGATCCGGCGAGGGCAGCGGTGGAGTGCGCCGCGGCGGCGGCGGAAGGGGACGACCTCGGCTCCGGCGGCGGCTGGAGAAGAAGTCAGCTCCGGCGGGGGTAGCGGTGGATTGAGGCGGCGGCGGCAGTACATGACGGGAGGAGTGAGCCGCGCGTGGAGAGGGTGAGGCATAGACGCGTAGTCTTCGCGACGTCTTCGCGCGAGGTGAGGCTAAAATCGTGCGGTCGAGATGGGTGGACGGTACAGATTAGAGATCTGCGGATGGACGGACCAGATTACACCGGATTTGCGGATGGACGGTAGAGATCGATCCGAATGATTACACCAATAGGATTGGAGGGAGGCGACTTATCTTTTTATATTAATATAGATATAGATATAGATATAGATACTCTTACAGTCTTACGTACCATAGTAATATTTTTCGAACCCTTTCCATAAAGAAAAAAAATGGAAACCGGAAAAGAAAACAAGGAACCAGTACACTAGCTTACATGCTTCCATTGATTCCCCTTCTATGCATTCCGTCCCTCCCGATTCTCCAAACCCACTCACACACCCAAGAAGATGGAAGGTCAGGGAACGCACCCTGCCATGCCCGCCGCCGCCGTCTCGGTGGTGCTCGACGACGACGACCTCCTCCGCGAGATCATCCTGCGCCTCGCCTTCCCCACCGACCTCGTCCGCGCCGCCGCCGTCTGCAGGCGCTGGCTCCGCGTCGCCTCCGCCCCGGCCTTCCTCCGCCGCTACCGCGCCCTCCACCCGCCCCGCGTCCTCGGCCTCTTCGCCAAGCACGCCGGGGCTCGCTGTTCGAGCCTCTCCCCCATCCCCGCGGGCTCGCCGCCGCCGCGCGCCGCGCCGCGAAGGGCGCCATGCTCGGCTCCATCGGCGGCGGCGAGCCGCTGCCCGTGTACGACTGCCGCAACGGCCGCGTCCTGATGGACCTCTCCGACCCGTTCGACCGCGGCGACGGCACGCTCGCGGTGGTCAGCCCGCTGCTGCACGCGTCGCGGTCGCTCGCCGTCCTCCCGCCGGTCCCGCTCGCCGCGCGCCCGCCGCCCGTATCCGCCATGGGCGACGACGACACGCTGCTCGGCCGGGCCACCGACGTCTGCATCCTCCTCCCCGAGGACGGCTGCGACGGCCAGTCCTACACCGTGGTGACGCTGGTGCGCAGCAAGCGCGTGGACTGGCGCGTGTGGTGGGAGTTCTTCGCCAAGGTGTCCGTCCTGCGCGCGGGCGCCTGGGACGACGACGTCCGCGCCACGGCGCCGGTCGAGCTCCCGGCGCGGTGCCGCGGCGACACGACCTGGAACCGTGCCCTGCTTGTCCAAGGCAAGCTATACGTCCTGGGCATGCAGTCCCACGCCATTCTTGTGCTCGACCTGGCATCCATGGCCACCTCCTTCATCAACCTCCCCGACGGAGTGCGCCACGAGGAGGACGGAGACCTCGACCTGTTCCGGTCAAACGACGCCGGCGTCAACCTCATCCATGTCAATGGGTTTCAAGCTCGTCTCTGGCGTCGCGGTGGCGACGACGATGACGGCGACGGCATGACAGCGGGCAATTGGGTGTTGGTGGACGACATTGGTGTTCGTCGAGGGTTCGATCACCTCGCGAAGGTTGGCGGGGAGATGGACATTGGTGGTCCGGTTGGGGTTATCAAGGTCGGCGACGACTGCGAGTTCATGTTCTTGTGCGTTGATGGCGATGTGCTGTACATGGATATCAGGACGAGGATGGTGAAGAAGATTTTCAAGGCGTCACCGAAGAGAGGAGGTGTTCTGCCAGTGATCCATCCACTGACCATGGTTTGGCCTCCAATCTTCCCAGTGCTGGAGTAGATCAAGGATGGAGGCCATTTCAGTGATCCTTGAAGAGGAGGTTTGGTTTTTGGTGCTTTGTGTCTTAAGTTCTTGTCTACTGCTGGCTTGCTGCTGGATTGATTTATCATGTGTGTTTGTTTCTTCCATTTTGTGGTAATGGACTTAAAAATGGTATGGTCGATGAATTAATGGATTATGAATATATGGGTATCCTTTACTAAAATCAATATCTGCTTGTATATTTGATTTAACTCTGAAACAAACAAGTAAATTATTATAGCAGATTATTATAATCTATAAGCTAGATTATTATAATCTAATAAGCTGCTCTAGGTGAGCTTTTTTCAAATTATTGAGTGGCTAAAGACCCACTACTCCTACATAATTGAGAAAAATTACCCACCTATGCCATCAACCGAACAGATAGCTGAGGGCATTATAGACTTTAGCTTTTCAAACCCAATAATCCATACCTCCAATAATCCAAACAAATAAACAACTCACAGCTTATTCTATGTCAGCTTATTATAATCCAGTTTATAGTAATCTGGCTTAATAATCTAGATTATAATAATCATAAGCTGAAACAAACAGGACCTTAGTTACTTCTATCGTAAGCAGAGCCTAGTTGGCATGATAACTCTGGTGATGCATTGATCTTGGAGATTTGTTACTGTAACCATGAACTGCAAGAAAGGAAGATATATTTTCTTTGAAGCAAACAACCCGTTGATGGAAATTTTAACCATGTTGATGGCTTATGCTCCATATATCCTTCCGATCGAGCAGAACGATAAATATCTTACGATTAGTGTACGATACAATGTTTCTATGGCCCAATCAAGTATCATGCATGACTGGATCGTATCAAAATCGTAACAAGTTTGTCGTACGTACAGCAATTTCCCGAGCGGAACTACCTCAGCAGCCAGGAACTAGAGAGCCCCAGGCATCAGTCGTTTAGTAATTTTGATGTTCCTATTCTCATGAGTTGCCTTGCCGAATCAAAATGAAAACCGAAGGATTATAGGTTCTGGATGTTCCATGCTCAAAACAAAACAATTGTTGCCATGTTAGAATCTGAAGCATTATCAATTCAGCAGTTTCTTTTCGTAGCTGTGACTTACCACTTTCAATTATATGCATGAGCTGCTTCAACTATGACCTGAAACCCAAATTCAACTCAATTTTAAGTTGGAACAAAACTAGATAAAACATGCTGGGTAGGCCCACCTGGTGCTAGTGTCTATCGAGCCATAGCTAGACTTATGCTTGGTGGGTACAAGTCCAAATTTTCCAACAACATCACAATTGTTTATATGATCTGCCATATCCCTGTTTTTCATTTGGATATGTTGCTAAGCCGAGCAAATATTCCTTTTTTTTAAAAAAGAAAGTGTTAGAACTCAAGCTATGACAGAGTTGCTCTGAAATCCGAAAATTCCTAGTTCAGAACAAGCAGCACATGGTACAACACACAAGGATATGATTTCTTCTTTGTTCCTGTTTCGTATGCACAAAATCAGATATTGAGATTCAATATAAATGCTACATAATGTTGTACCTCCTCCATTTCATAATGTAAGACTTTCTAGCATTGTCCACATACATATACATATTAATGAACCTAAACACATATATTTGTATAGATTCATTAACATCTATATGAATGTAGATAATGCTAGAAAGTCTTACATTATGAAATGGAGGGAGTATTAAGTACGAACAGAATAAAGTCTGATACTACAAAAAGCTCACAACATAATTCAATCCTAAATTGTCAATGACAGTTATTCACACATTCCAGGTTTCCAGTTTTTGGACTAAAAACTCAGAAGCAGTACTTTGCAAATAATCTCCAAAACAGGCTATCAAAATTACCAGCTCAAAATTCCTCTGTAGCATACCTGGAAAAAAGGTGAAATTTAAACCTGAAATATTGCTTGAATTCAATTTGTTAAGCAGAAGAATATTTTTGAAGTAGATCAGGTTAACTCATACTTAAATCTTATTTTAAAGCATAACAAAGGAACATCACATAAGATGCCTGACTCTCCTAAAAGACCAGTAACAATTAGATTGTTACAGCAAGATAACTACATGCTGAATTGAGAATCGGTTAGACATCGCATAAAGCACTAGAGAAAAATCCTCTGGGATCATTCATACTGAATTACTGATCATCGTCATCGTCATAGTTCAAAGCCGGGAAAGTGGGAGGCCATATCATCATGAAGGGAAAGATTTCAAAACCAATATCTTCCTTTGGAGCCATCTCGAAAACCTTGTTCGCTGTCCTGCTCGCAATATGTATGTGGAAGATCACGCGGTCTATCGTCAAGAACAGCTCGGCATTATCCTCGACTCTACGAAGTGAAACAAGAGCATCCCCAAGTGAAGGATCCCCCGACTCCCAATCGGGCCTCGCAACTTGACCAAACGATTGATGCAGAGACATGGTATCAACCATCTCCCAATCACCACCATTCCCACCGCCGTCTGTCGCACGATGCCAAACATGAATCTGAAACCCCTTCAGATGAGCAAGATATAATCCGGAATCGCCGTCCCGCAACAACTCAAGGTTCCCCATATGCTCCAGCTGCTCCACACCATCCGGGAGCTTGATCAAGAACAAGCTCATCGACGCCAGATTCAACCCAAGAACATGCTCCCTGCCCAGCATGTAGAGGCTCCCATGGAAGAGCAATCCACGGTTCATCTTCTTGTTTGGCCAGTAGTGATTCGGCAGCTCGATTGAATCGGAGGTGCGGATCTGGTCGTCTGATTCACCTCTCACCAACACTGCTCTCGCGAACAATCCACGGCCTCTTCGTATCAGAACCACCAGCGTGTAGGAGAGATCGTCGCCGCCGTCGTCCTCCTCCTCCTCCGGGAGCAGCATCCAGCCCGGGCGCAGCACACGGGCATCGTTGGGTACCTGATGGAGCTGCGAGTGCAGGTTCGGGGGCAGATCGGGCGGCTTCCGCGCGGGGGGCAGCAGCGGGGAGACGACGCCGAAGCGTAGCTCGTCGGGCGGGGGCGGGAACTCCGCCCTGAGGAGGCGGCCGTTGCGGCAGTCGAAGACCACGGCGGAGACGTCGGCGCCGCCGAGCGCGAACCCGCCGAGGCGGCGGAGCACGGGGGCGAGCTCCGGGGGCTGGGGAAGCGGCACGAACGCCGGCTGCTCGTCCCGGCGCGCGGTGTGGTAGAAGCCGAGGAGGCGGGGCGGGTTGCGGGCGCGGAAGCGGCGGAGGAAGGACGAGTCGGAGGCGAGGCCGAGCCAGCGGGAGGAGACGAGGGCGGCGCGGACGAGCGTGGTGGGGAAGGCGAGGCGGAGGAGGATCTCGCGGAGGAGGTCGTCGTCGGCGAGCACCGACGAGGCCGCAGAAGCCGCCGGTGGCGGAGAGGAGGGACGCGTCGCCTCGTCTTCCATTTGCATGCGATCGAGGAGGTATTGGAGTAAGGAGCTCAGGTTGAGCTAAGCTAAGCTGGTTTAACAATATTTTTCTACTTAATGTCATTTCTACAACTTCATTACTCTATCCATATCAAATATAACAATTTTTAACCTTCAAAATTTATATATTAATTTTTCCACGAACATTTTTTTCCAACCAATAATACTCCAACATTCAAGCTCATCACTTCTACCATTTAATTCTACATATATTTTTTAATAACTATGTCCAACTCTAAATATATAAATCTATTTATCCTTAATAAAGGAGTAACTAAAAAAACCACATATATTAATCAGAGAAAAGGAAACATATCTTATATACAAATACTAACTTTAATTCAGGTTTTTTTTTTCAATAGTTGGGCTGAATTTTGGTTAGGAGGCGCCCACGCTCTCCTGCTGTAAACCACACACGCGTAGGATTATTTGGACAACACGCCATGCATTATTCTTTTGTCTCTTTTAATATCGAGTTAAACCTTTGCTATAAAAAGGTTTCAAACATCTAGCTTTAACATCGGAACAAAAAAATCTAGATGTACATATACTACTCGTCCTGGAGAAAAAAAGAGGCAAGTGTCAAGTTGTCGAAACAAAATGTCATCTTGTTCTGAACAGGGTATCTAACATTAAGTCATTAAGTCATTAGGAACACCGGTCTAAGGGCCTGTTTAGATCCATGCTAAAATTTTTCACCATGTCACATCGAATATTTAGACACATATATGGAGTATTAAATATAAAAAAAATAACTAATTACACAGATTGCGTGTAAATTGCGAGACGAATCTTTTAAGCCTAATTGCTCCATGATTTGACAATGTGGTGCTATATTAAACATTTGCTAATAACAGATTAATTAGGCTTAATTAATAAATTCGTCTTGCAGTTTACAGACGGAATATGTAATTTGTTTTGTTATTAGTCTACGTTTAATACTTCAAATATGTGTCCGTATATCCGATGTGGCACGCCAAAACTTTACACTCATGGATCTAAGGGGGTGTTTGGGAGAGAGTGGACTAAAGTTTAGTCCCCAAACACCCCCCCCCCCCTAAGAGCAGGTACAATAGCAGGCTATAAGCTAGCTATAAATATATTTTAAAGAGATAAAATAGGAGAGAGAAGAGCAACGGGCTACAGATCTATAACCAGCTGCAGCACGGACTTTAAAACGTAATGTGTGTATGATAGGTGGGACCAGGAATTAATAGTATAATAAGCACTATTGTATGAATTGACTATTAAATTGGCTATAGATGAATTGGAGCTTGTAGTTGGCTATCCTATTAAACTTGCTCTAAACACCCCCTAAGCACAATGAATATGCAGTCAGCAAAATGGGAAGTACGAGGAGAAAGCTACCAGTTCATTAAAAACGCGAACATTATGCTGTAGGATTTTTAGTATTATACAACTAACATTATAAAACTAACCATGGTGAGCCACAATTTCATTTGGAAGATTTGAAACATACAAACAGCTTTATGAAATTAAATCAAATAGTAGTAGTACTTTTTCAACACTATTCGCCTTATCCTTACAGGTTTAAATTAACCTATACAAAAGAGAACCGCGTATTCAGATTAAGCAAGACGAGATGGGAGATATCTCCCAGTCCAATTATGTTAACAACAGTCACAAGTAATTATAATCCCTCCCCTAGCAAGCTAGGATTGAGATTCTCAGCAGTCACTGTACCGTGCATTTGTCACTGACATATGGGCCTGATGATCTATGGGCCCACATGTCACTGATAAAGGCGCGGTGCAGTCGACTGCAGAGGATCCTGATCCAGCAGTGTCGATCCTGATCCAGCAAGCTGACACTGCCTGGTTTTGCTCCCGGCGCCGTATTGATCAAAAGTCAGATGATAATTACAGGCAATAACCACTACCTTTTGACAATTGCAAAGCTACATGAGGCATGTACAGATTCTGCACAAGATCAGCAGGTCAAATGAAATGCCTCTCCTGCTGTAAGCCTGTAAAGTACACATATGTAGTATTATTTCAAAAACGTGCTATACATTTAGTCCCTTTAAATCTATCTCTTTTCTTTGTCAGAAATCTCTTTAAACATCGATTGAACATGTGCAATCAACATGCTAAAACTTTGCTACAAAATAGTTTCTTACTTCTTAGCTTAAAGCCATTGGTTCTGAACATGATACCAAACATTCAGAATTGCCTAAACAACAAAGGTTACAGAGTTATTGCACAAGGAATATGCAGACAGCAACACCGGGAATTATGAGGAAGGTACCAGTTCATCGAAAACGTGGAAATTATGCTATAAAATTCTTGAGAATTTACTACATGTTGGGCGCCGTGTGCTAAACCACCCAAGTACAGTCAGTCGATCAGGTTAACACAAAGAGAGCAGAATAGCAGACAAAGATAGCATCAGGTAATATATATTCTTGATGCATAGTACATTAATCTTCGACCTCATCTTAAAAGACAGAGATACATAACATAAGCAGATTCTAGCAGTGAGAGATCTACAAGACAAATTCAGGACCATACTTGCAAGGCACCAGACAAATGCGCCTTCGAGGATCACTGATCTTGATCATGATCATTCCTAAGTTGTGGGAAGGTGGGAGGCCAGAGCATCATGAATGGAAATATGTCAAAATATCTATAAGCCTCTGGTGACATCTCAAACACTTTGTTTACCGTCCTGTTCATGATATGTATGTGGAAGATCACACGGTCTACCCGCAAGAACACCTCAGCATTGTCCTCCACCCTATGGAGCGCAACCAGAGCATCCCCTGATTCCCAATTGGGCTCTGCAAACTGACCAAACGATTCGCCCAAGCAGATGTTATCAACCAGCTCCCAGTTGCCACCACCGATGTCGGAATCGGAGGCGCGGAACCAAACATGAATCTGAAACCCCTTCAGATGGATGAGATATAAGCCGGAATCGCCTGCGCGTAGCAGCTCAATGTTTCCCATCCGGTGTAGCTGCTGCACACCATCTGGCAATCTGAACAAGAATAGCCTCATGGATGCCAAATTCAACCCAAGAACATGCCCCTTCCCTCCCAACAGATAGAGATTGCCATTGACAAGCACATCACGCCTTATGCTCCTTTCCCAGCTTTCCTGAATCTCTATAGTTGCCGATTCACGGACACTGTTCAGATCCGAAATTTCAGCCCTTACAGAAACTGCCTTGGCCAACATCTCCTGATCTTTGCGTAGAAATTCCACGAAAGTGTAGGACGGATCGTCGCTGCCGACATCTGGGAAGAGGAGCATACACGAGGCATGCAGAATCTGCCCCGGCTGGCGAGGGAGTTCGTAGACCAGCGGGAGAGCCGGTGGGTGGCGGGCGGGGTGCATCGGGCTGATGATGCTGACCCGTGGCCCATCGGGAGGGAACTCCGCGGCGAGGACGCGGCCGTTGCGGCAGCTCAGGATGACGGGCGCGTCGGGGCCGGAGCCGGAGGAGCCGGGCGCCAGGCGGAGGCGGGCGCCGCGGAGCGCGGCGGCGAGCTCCGGCGGCTGGGGCAGCGGCACGAACGCCGGGACCTCGTCCTGGAAGCGCGCCCTGGCCGTGTGGTAGAAGCCGAGGAGGCGCGGCGGGTGGCGCGCGCGGAAGCGGCGGAGGAAGGCCGGGTCGGAGGCGAGGCGGAGCCAGCGGGTGGAGACGAGGGCGGCGCGGACGAGGGTGGTGGGGAGGCCGAGGCGGAGCAGGATCTCGCGGAGGAGGTCGTCGTTGGCGAGCACCGACGAGATCGCCGCGGCCGCGGCTGGCTCCGGTGGCTGCGTCCCCTTGTCTTCCATGGCGTTCCCGCGAAGCGCAGCTGAGAGGGAGAAGGGGAAGCGGTCGTCTGGTCCAGCTTGTGACGAGTCAATTTCCACGCGGATTTTTGACTTTTGGCTGACTTTATTACTCCTTGATGGAAGTATTAACTAATTATAAATTTTGAAAAAATGGATTTATTTGATATTTTTTAGAAAAAAGCTTTTCCATTTTTAAAAAAAACTGCTTAGCAGTTTAGAAAACATGTCCTTTTTTCCTAATTAAAATAGTCTCGGATTGTAGGTCGGAGTTGATAACAAGAAACCTATATATCGAATTGTAGGTCGGAGTTGAAGTTTAGAACTCGGCCTTTTTTTTCATGCCAAGTGGTTTTAGTTGTGTTCTAAACATTTTGATATGCAAACCATCTGTTTAAAAATCAAAATGTTTTAGGGGCTATCCTCATTTAAATGTTGAAATAGTCATATCACCCATCTTATGTTGTTTGGAGAATGAGATGGGTTTTGCACCTACTGTTGTGTACTCTCTCTGTTTTATATTATTACAAATCACATGACATTTTTCCTAATTAACGAAGTCTCTCTTTGGTCCATATATTAGATGAATACCCTTGATACAACCGAATTTTCGCTGGGTTGTTTGTAAGTAAGCTAGGTAAACTATATTAAATATTTGATTGAGTTTATAAAAAAACATTTAGCAACATCTACTACAACAAATTATTTTATTAAATTCAATATTTATATATTTTAATAATTGCATAGGTAACTAATCAATGTTTAGTCATTGCAGTGCTTGTCACGGTCTCACAGACCAAAGTACATGCGCATTTGATATGCTAGCTTCGAGGGTGTGTTTAGTTTCACGTTAAAATTGAAAGTTTGACTAAAATTGAAAGTTTAAAGAAAAAAGTTGAAAGTTTATTTGTAGAAAAGTCTTGATGCGATGAAAAAATTAAAAATTTGAAGAAAAAGTTACGCCGCAAGAGTCTATCGATGGGCTGTCACTTGACCCACTCGAATTCTCATCACCAAACTGCACAAGAGCTCACAGTGAGCCAGCCCCCACATTCATTCAAATCGCTCGGCACCGACACCGACACCTTACAGTGAAAACGTAACAAACACCGCTAGAAGCCTAGAACGATGCGATGTATGTAACCGCAAAATTCGCCGCGGTGAAACCGAAATTCCAAATTCTGAATGCAAATCAAATCGCTCCATCCCATTTCGAATCTACTACAACAAATCAATATAATCCCAAGTACGTACGTGCGTGCACATGCCAACGCAACAGGTATATATATATATGCGCATGCAGCATATGGTTGAGCTAGCTACAGCGAGAGGCCGGAGAGGAAGGAGACGCCGGTGGCCGGCAGCCACGACGCGCCGGAGATGAAGCGCGCCACCGTGAACCGCTCCGCCTCGGCGCTGTCGTTGATGACGCGGTGGCCCGGCCACGCCACGCGCCCGGCGACCCCGGCCCCGGGGCCGTAGTTCATGTACTCCCCGTAGTAGAGCGTGTCGAGCGCGAACGTCGCGTTCCACGCCAGCCACCCCTCCGGCGGCACGTGCCCGCCGATGTACGACATCATCACCACCACCCTCGAGTACAGCTTCCACGGCCTCCCCAGGTACGTCGGCGCCAATGGCGCCGCCACGGCCGGCGCCGTCGACGGCGGCGGCGGCGAGGGGACGACGCGGCAGGCGTGGATGACGAGGCCGGTGGATTGGCCGGGATCGCGGCGGTTCTGGGCGGTGACGGTGTTCTTCTGGCCGGGGAGAGGGGAGCGGGACCAGAGGTTGCAGCGCTGGAGGACGGCGGCGGCGTTGCCGAAGACGAAGTCGACGGTGCCGTAGACGTCGCAGTCGCGGTAGAAGTGGCGGTTGGAGTGGGCGTAGAGGGTGTCCTGGTAGCCGATGATGCTGCACCGGTAGACGGCGGCGCGGTCGGCGCTCACGCGCAGCGCCACCGCCTGGTGCCTCTCCGGCCCCGCCCAGTTCTCCACCGTCATGTCCCTCATCATGAACCCGCTCCCCGACGCCGCTGCCACAAATTTCACACAAATTAATTAAGCTGCTTTCTTATACTAGTACGAGATTACTAATTTGCAACAAATTCTTGTCAAATTTCAGCAGTGCTCGCGACGTGCCATGTCGCGCCATACCGCTGCCTGCCTGCAGGCTATCCGATTTCTGGTTCAGTTAAGTGATTAAGTCCCCCACCCACTACACTACGCCATGTTACCGCAATGACGCAAACACAGCAAGAATGCAGGTCGAGTAGTCCATTTCTACCGTTTCTTTTCAGGAAATTTACCAGCTTTTATACCCAGTCATCTACAGCAGCTATTAGTACGTGCCTAATACTACGAGCTAATCCTACTCGAAGTGGTCTTCATTGCGGAACAGTAGAAGCGTTAGGAGATTGCAGAAGTAACAGCAGGAATAACGATCGATCAATTGCCCAGCAAAAAAATATATAAAAGAAAGAATCCACCAATTTAATAGAACTAATGACCGCAAAATAAATTGGATGGTTCCATCATCAGACATTCACAACAGGCTGGAGTAGATCATTATTGTGATTAGTGAAGTTTCTTCTGTTGTTGGCATAGTGTTGTAGTATTTAACTTCGGTAGCAATGAATTAATTGTGTTTTCCTGTAAGCTCATTGCAACCCGTCACTGCTCATATCACTAAAATAATTGCAATTTAATAACTTGCCTCTAGCTAGTTTTTACTACTACCTTCTTGCGTTGAGCGCAAAAGTAAAATTAGTTTATTTAGACAAACTAGGAAATCGTCCCTATTTGTAACACTTAATTTCTTGTGCAAAATCAGCATAGGTCTATCTATGGTGAAGACAGGGGATGCAATGTCAGTTGAAAAGTAAAAAGTGAAAAAAATATACTTTTATAAAATATAATTGTTTTTAATTATTACTCCCTCCATTCTAAAATATAAGGCACAACCACTCTTAATCCAAAGACCAAGAAATAGTTATTATCATCTTGTAGTTTGAATCATCCTAATAAATATAATGCATGCATCTAATAGGATTAGATAAGATGAGAGTACAGAATTTAAAAAGTAATAATTTAATGGAGAAGATGTCATAGTTAATTGTATGCTTGCATATATGCCTTATATTATCGAACATATAAGAAAAGTGGTTGTGCCTTATGGAATGGAGGGAGCAACAGCGTTCTTTTCTAAACTTATGTGATATGAAAACAGTACAAAAGAAAAATGCACTAATGGTAGCAATGAAAAGTTTAGTTTCAGAGAACGTGATAGATCAAAATTGTTTCTTCTTGACACCATAACATTATCTTTTTTAAAAAAAAAATGTTCGATGAAATGACAATGGAGTGAGTAAATCGTGGCGACAAATGACATACCGAAGGTGGCGGTGTGGAACGTGGTGAAGTTGTCGGCGACGCTGCGGCCGGCGGACACGACAGTGACGCCCTTGCCGTCGCCGACGAACACCAGGTTCGTCTTCTTCCTCCCCACCTTCACGTTCTCGTCGTACCGCCCGGCCTTCACGTGTATCACCGTCCGCCGCCCGCTGCGCTCCGGCGCCGCCTTCACCGCGTCCGAGATCGTCCGGTGCGTCCCCGTCCCGTCCTTCGCCACCACCATGTCCGCGCTCTCCACCAATGGCGCCGCGGGGACCAGCAGCAGCCTCCGGTCCCTCGCCGACAGCCACCTCGGGAAGAGGCTTCTTCTTCTTCTTCTCCCTCTCTTCCTCTGCTTCTTGCTCTTCCCGCCGCCGTTCCGGACGGGGACGCCGGCGAGGCCGTCCTTGTTGCTGGTTGCCATGGCCGCCGACGCGGCCTCCGCGTACATTGTGAGGCAGTCGCGGACCATGGCGCGGGCGGCGGCAAGGTGGGGCGCGGCGTCCGCGCCGTGGGGGATGCCGGCCTCATTGAGGCTGTCGGCGCAGGTGTCGTGGTTGGTGAGCGCGGCGGAGAGCCACGTGACCGCGTCGTCGTGGGCGGCACTGGGCTCACCGGCGCCGGCAAGGAGGTCGAGGGAGTCCTCGAGCAGCTCCGCGCAGTCGTCGCGCGCGGCGGCGGCGAGGGGCGAGGAGGAGGAGGAGCCCGCCGAGAACGGCGTTGTCATCACAGCGGAGGCCGGCGCGACGGCGGCGCCCGACAGGGCCTCGAGCGCCTTCCCCACGTGCACCGCCGTCGCGTTGAGCGCAATGCGGAGCCGGTGGTGGCGCGCCGCCACAGCCTCCGCCTCCAGCGCCGAGGCCGGGAAGGCGTGCGCGCCGGAGAGCGGCAGCAAGAAGCAGGGGAGGAAGACGAGGAGGAGGATGAGGCGGCGAGCGACGGCGTGGCCCATGGCGAGCCGAGCTAGCTAGCTATGGAAGCTGGAAGAAGTCGACGAGGTGCTGGACTACCAGCGATGGCGGCGCGGCCATTTATAGGGCGATTGGGGGTGGCGAGAATGATGGGACGCGCGCGGGCGGCGAGCTGGGAAGCTTTTGCGTCTCGCGGAAAGCGCGGCATGTACCGATGGTTTGCCTGCCATCGCCGGAGAACGATGGGCTCGCTCAGCTCCGGCGGCGGCCGCGTCCGCTTGGTTTGTTCGCCGATCCATGGGCGCGGCACGAGACGAGAGCCGCGTGGGCTGGGCTACCACAGCAGCACACATGCAGATGCACTGCTCGTTTGGCCCCCACCCCACCTGGCTGGCGCGCCCACCGCGCGGCATTGCGCTTGCGCGTGTGCGCGCGCTAGCTAGCGCGCAGTGCGTCAGTGAGACGCTGCGTGGTCTCGCGACGGGTACAAATCCTGCTCTGTGTGCACGTACAAACCACGGCTCACAGATCACTGATATGTGTCACTTGCTCTTGGGCGCATATTTTCGGTCTATATTACTACTCATGGAGTAGTAGTAGAGTAGTGCACCTCTCAACTACCGTCTCACACGAAGCTTACGAAATGAGATAAAACTAAAAAGATGATGTGGCTAGTGAACTAACGTTATTAGGTGCATGAGTAACATGGAAATCAAGAGATTATATCATAAGTAATGTTATTTGACCAACAACATCTATAAAACTAAGATGTTTAAATAAAAATAGTTGCATATTATTGTAGTTTGTTTAATGATAAATATAGTAACATCAATTTTATATGATTGACCTTTTAATATTTTTTTTCTATTAATAGTCATAGTTAAAAAAATGACTTGACAATATTTTAAAAATGCTTACATTCTGTGACGGAGTGAGTACTATGGATATATAAACTACTTACTATATTACGGTAGTTTTTATTCACCGTGTATTATCTATGGTAGTTTTATTTACCATGTATTATCTTAGAAACAACACTGAATTTTAGTTTGGATCTAATTTTCTTATGAAAGTTAAGGCTCCTTTCGAATAAAAGAATTTTGGAGGATTACATTTCTATCGAAATAAATTCCTATATGATGCTTTAGAATGAAGGTATTGAATTCCTTCTAAATTCCTTATAATTGTCTCAAATCATAGGTTTTTTTTTGCAAAATTGGTTATATATCATCAAAAGTTCACTTTTTTTTTCTTTTTATAGCATCGAAAGATACTAAATAGCACCTAAAGCTCACCACGTTCCCATTTTTAACACTTTCGTTAATTTTCAATCGTTTTTCGTCCGCCTTGATTACTATTGACTCAGCCACACACACAATATGATGTTTCTACCCCTGATTGTCATGCATTCTACTTGTGAGAGGTAGTTAGGAATTCATATTCCTCTCTTCTTAAGAAAAAAAAAGTGCGCTCACAACTCGTATACATTCATCCATATAATATATACACGAACATCTTACCTTTATATGAACACCTTGCAAAGATCGGACATATTCTTTTTATCTTTACACGCCTTATTAACGTACACTAAAAATGTGAATAAGTGAACCCTGCATAGCCATACATGTTTATAAAAGAAAACAAAATAGAAAGGCACGAGGAGAACAGTGGGACAGCCAAACGTGACGGTGATTTCACTTGAAAAAGAAAAATAAAATACTGTGTGCCGATTTAGACAATGCAAATGCATTATTCCAGGCTATATATATAGCTAGTTAGCTCTGTCGTCGATGCTTCTTCTTTTTTTGTCATTTACAATTTTGCTGCACATTTGGATGTGATTTTCGTATTGTATTGTACACGTATATATGGGCTCACGAAGAGATAGCTAAAGGGAATCGTGTGACATTGGCACAATGGCACATGTGACGAGCGCAGATGGAGCTCTCGCCTCGTGGAAAGAAACAAAAAAAGTCGCGGCACCGATGGGCGATCGATCGGTGGCTGGGCGAGTCGTCTCGTGCGATCGTGTGCGGTTGGTTTGGTTTTGCTGGCTGCCTCGCCACACCGGCACACCGCCCGTCCATCATACCACGCTCTGGCTGACGCGCTGCTTGTTTGCCGTGCCGTGTGCCGGCTGCATATCCTCTCGATCGCCCTAGTACATGCCGCACACTCCATTTTCAGCTACCTTTTTTTTTATGATAATGGATCTTATTAGGACTAACTGCAAAACACGTGACCATGGAATAATAACGTGGGTTCAATAAATGGAAAGCTAGCAAGCTTGAAAAACAAAGGAAATATATATATTTTGTAGTACTAAGAAATTTGATCTACAGTAATATTGTTTTATTTCATACTCCCTCCATCCTATAATATAAGAGATTTTAGGTGGATGTGATCCACCTAAAATCTCTTATATTTTGGGACGAGTATCTCCTATCATTCAATTCATCTTGTGACAACTTTTTTCTCTTTACCTTTCTCTATATTGTTGCCGCCACATTAAATTGCTTCTCTTGATCTCAAGCGTATTTTCCGATCATAAAAGACCGAGAGATGATCTTGATGTTATTACTTTGAAGTTGCACAAACCCCAAGCCCCGAATTCTCGATTGGGATTCACAGATCCGATTTGTTTTTTAGAATCGCTTGGTTTTCTTGAAACCAATGGCGGAGGCATCGTCTGGGCAGGCGAAAACTCCATTAAAATTTTATATTAGTGAGTAAATTGGTGATGAAATTTCTATAACAAATACTAGTTATATTTATCCGGTTTTAAAAAATTTTCTAGCTCCGCCATTGCTTGAAACCACCCTGACCCAATTTGTGAATTCCAATTGATTTTAGTTAGTTTTCATACATAGTTAACAAAAAAAAAGGTCACCGGTTCTATGGTTTGTATCGGCTTTCGCGCTGTTTTGGTAAAACCTACCATGATCGGTTTTCAGTTTTCACCTCGATCTCCTCCGGGCAAACCGCGACATTTGAAAGAACTTTCTCCTTTACGAAATGCCCAAAATAAATACAACAAGTAAATAAAAATGGAATTCGAACCGTTAGCGTACGCTACACCCGGCCCCACGCGTCAGTGAAACCCAACAGTCTCCTGAAATCAACCCGCCACAAAGGCCCAAAGCCCACGCCGAGAACCCCGCCGCTCGCATTCGCATTCGCATCTCCCCCGCTTCCTCTCCTCCGCCGCCCCAAAACCCTAGCGGCGAGCGAGCGAGCGAGCCATCCATCACCCATGGCCCGCAAGCGCCGCGCGCCGACGCCCCCGCCCCCGCCGCCGCCGCCTCCCGAGGCCGAGTCCTCCGCGGATTCAAGCGGCGAGGAGGAGGAGGAGGAGGAGGAGGAGGAGGAGGAGAGGGAGTCTCCCGTCGCCCCACCGCCCCAGAAGCCCAGCGGCCGCGGCGCCGCCTCGTCGGATGAGGAGGAGGAGGAGGAGGAGGACTCCGACACTGACACCTACGCCCAAGGTTTCCAGCTTCGGAAGGTTGGCGGCGGCGACGAGGAAGGGGAGGAGGTGGAAGGCGACTCGTCGGAGTCGGAGCCGGAGCCGGAGCCCGTCAAGAAGGAGTCGGCGAAGAAGGCCAAAGCCGAGGCCAAGAAGAAGAGGGCCGCGCCTGAGCCCGCGCCGTCGGGCAAGGCCAAGAAGGCCAAGCCGGAGAAGTCGTCGTCGGCGGCGGCGCCTGAGCCCGCTCCCTCCTCGGGCAAGTCCAAGAAGGCAGCCAAGGCTGAGGCTGCGAAAGCGGCTGCCGCTGAGCCGGCTCCTTCTACCGGCAAGGTGAGCAAGTACAATTTGGCGCCGGAGCCCTCGCCGTCAAGCAAGTCTGGGAAGGCCCTATCGCGATGGACGACGGATGACGAGGTCAAGATTCTTGAGGTCCTCGTGGCCCATTTCAAGAGCCACGGCACTCAGCTTAAAGTTGAGGGGATCATCGCTGCTGTCGGCGATAGCCTCGAGAGGAAGAGCATCAAGTATTCGGACATGTATGAGAAGGTGCGGAGGCTCAAGCAGCGGTACGAGGCCACTGCCAAGAAAGTTGAACACGGCGGCGACCTACCAGCTAAAGAGGATGACCTGCGGATGTATCAGCTATCGTCGGAAATCTGGGGAAAGAACGCAAAGGATGCTGGCAATTCGTCAAAGAACAAGAAGGGGCAAGCTAAGAAAGATAAGGTGAGTGGAGATTCAAAGGAAGCCGCCAAGGAAGATAAGGTGGATGAAGCCGCCATTGCTGTGAATGAAAAGGGTGGTACTCTGGCAGAGAATAAGAAGGGGAAAACCAACAAGCAGAAAACAGGTATGGAAACAAAGGTTGGATCATCTAAGGAGGCTGCTCTTGCTGCTAGTCCAACCAAGGGTAAGAAGAAGGGAAGCCACAAAGACAAATTGGATGAAGAAGCAAAGAGTGGCACGGCAAAGGTGACCTCCACAATTGCCACTGATGATGATGATGGAACTTTGGGTGGGAGTAAGAGGGAGAAGGCTGGCAAAGAGGAATTGGATGGGGACACACATATCGTCATGCCAAAGGAGGCCACCACAACTGCCGCTAGCGATGATGGTACTTTGGTTGGGAGTAAGAAGGGGAAGGCTGACAATGGGAAATTGGATGGCGACACACACAGTGTTATGCCAAAGGAGGCCACCGCTGGCACCCAAAATGGTGGCATCCTAACAGGAGGGGAAAATCACAAAGAAAAAGTAGATAAAGATGCTAATGTACCAAGCATACGGAGGGAGTATGCTGAATTGCAGAGTTTGTATCCCAACCTTGCTTCCTTTGTGAACGGAATTGAGGCCCAGCATCCATGTGGATCAACCTTCAAGAGAGCTTTTGAGTTCATTAGTGATGATAAGGCTTGCACCCTGGAATCCAAGATCAAGAAGCAGAAGATAGCGGAAGTGAGAATGCAGCTCCGTCTAGCAGACACGAAGAAGGAAGTAGCCAATGCTTTGTTAGGATTGCTGGACTAAAACATTGCGGTGCTGACATCCTTTTTGTGCGGTATACATTCTTCTTACTTGCGTTATTATGTTCCCATTTGTATATTAAAGTTCTGTTATAGCTAAATGCATTTAAAGTGTTTTTGTTGCTTCTAAAATTTGAGTGTGACTTCTGAACTAATTATTGAAACAACCCTGTTCTTATGTGGTCAGTTTAGTGTGAAACATGTGCAATTAAGGAAAGTGTAGCCAATGAAAGATTTAGCCATATTTGACACGTACAAACCATCTAAATATTTGATTGGTTTGTATATCAAGCTAACTTACACTTTGTAGGTGTTGAGAGGGTGAGTTTGTCATACGTAGCAACATAAGGGAGTGATTTGAATATATCATCTGTTGGATTCTACTATTCTTGATTGGTTGTAAATTAAACTGTACCTACACTTTGTAAGGATTGAGAGGTAGGAGTAGTGAACAAGGGAACACTATGAATAAAGCATCTCTTGCATTCTACTCCTGAAATAGTTAGCTTTACCTTATTCAAACGCACAGTTGTTGCTTTGCTAGGTTGTCATTGTAATGTTTTGTACCTACTATACTCTACTCACCGTGAATAGTCATTTTTTGGGGATGGTTTTCCTTTGCAGAACTGAGTTATAATGCTTTTTTTTTACCACAACTGATATATGCAATGTTTACTGGTAGTTTGTCCATATGAATCTTGTGCTGCAAAAGGCAGCATAGTTTATTTTCAAGTTCTTTGTAGTTTTGTTTGTTAATTGTAGCTTAGGTTGATATAAATAGCTTAATGTTTGAAGTTATGCTTTATATTTTTCAAAGTAAATTATTGTGTGATGTCCATTGCTCTAGTGAATTTAGGGTTTCTCTTGAAGAATTTTGTTGGCTGCTCCAACTGCTCCCAATAATGCCACTAAAAGAACAGTTGCATTTTTACAAGCCACCTGCTAGTACTGACATGGTATTGGATGTGACATTTCCTAGTACAACAAATCTGTCAGGAGCTTATCCAGATTTGTTGTATTAGGGAATGTCTCGTCCAATACTAGGTTGGTTTTTTGTGGGACGGAGGGAACTACCTTGTCTTGTATAGATGACCTGATTTTGTTGACTGACCTCATCAACTCCACTAAAGAACAACAGTTGCATTCTGTTCAAGCTACCTGCTAGTACTGACATGGGAATTTGAGTAGCTACCTTGTTTGTCTAGATGACCATCCTAATTATGTACTACCTCATTTTCAAAATGTGTGACGCCGTTGACTTTTCATACAACGTTTGACCATTCGTCTTATTCAAAAATTTAACATAAATATGTAAAAGTATAAGTTAAGATTACATTTTATTTGATGATAAAACAAGTTACAATAAAATAAATGATATTTATATAACTTTTTTGAATAAGATGAATGGTCAAACGTTATGCAAAAAGTCAACGGTGTCATACATTTTGAAATGGAGGGAGTATATGCCACCACACTTGTCAGTTTGGTCAAGCACAGAGGATTCTATGCTAAGCCTGCATTTATTTCAGCTGAATTTGGAGCCTTGATACGTGAATATTGATTTGTTTATGTGAGCCTGTGAGGCTCGCTCAGGGATACATGATTTTTTCTGAGTCTCTTTAACCAAGTCACAGTAGCAACTCAGGAAGTTGTTCATCTAGAGTTAACATACAAATGAAATCAATGGTCAATCCAAAATCCATATATGAATATCATATTTAATCTTTAATTTGGATTTTGTTGAGCCTTGTGGGGCTGTTGGCATGAAGATTATAAGTTGGCACCATTTTAGTTAGTTCACTGCTTAAAGGCTGAGCCAATACAAGGTAGCTTAGTGTAACAGCCGTACATAACTTTTCTCAATATCTCAAATCTGCTTTATTTGTTTTCAAACTACAATGATGAGCATATGAGTGCATTGCTAAGACTTTGATTTGTCTGTGCCTGGACAAAACATTTCTTTTCGTTGCTTCAATTTTCTTCTTGCATCCTTAGTAGTACTAATTTATATTGCTTCATTATCCATACACTTATTCTGTTCACTGTTCACAAGCAGATGGTTGTATTGAAGATTCAAGTTGCAGAAGATTTTTGGCTTGTGGAGCTAAGGGATATGACGTGACGAGTTGAGCTACTGGGTTTTCTGTCTCTGGTTCTCGAGAGCTATTCTGTGAACGGTTGTTTATGTGATTAGATGGTAGTATCCCTTTAATCTATGAGTTAGCAATGGAGCTGATGACAGTTTAATTAACTCCTGTATCTATGATGGCATTTGGCTTTAATTAGGAGGTGTGCCTAATTAAGGGGGTTCTATAACTTTGGGATATGCGTGATGCTGATATTGACCCGAAATCCCGTAATCCTGCTTATTTTGTTGCCCGGTTTATTCGACCTGCAACCGTTTCGTTTTGTTGTAATGCTCCAACATGATCTCAGTCTCGTACAATTCTGTGCAACTAAGTCATGCTTATTCATGAAGTGAAAAATATTTCATTTCATTACAGAGAGTGAAGAATTTCAGTTTCCGGATGCATGATTTGCACGCTACGACTACGATCATCTTGATCAACCTGTACGGTTCTCCAAATTTGATTCGGCAATCGACTTGCAATGCAGATAGCTCTGAACCATCATCCCTCATTTATCTCTTTAGGGTTAAGTCTTATTTACCCCCTTCAACTATCATGAAAGTAAAAAATACCCTCATCAACTCTAATACTAGATAAATAGCTTTGGCCGATGTCCAAAGTGTGAGCTTGGTGTTGTCTTGCTTGTTTAGGCGGTGCCTCCAACGATGTCGCGATCGCCATGGAGTCGGAGTTGCTAGGTCGCTGGGCGGCAAGCTCGGCAACGATGACACGTGCCTTGTAATATCAAACTTGTATGCCACTTCTTCAGCATCTCAACATCGACGTTCGCTCTTGGATTCCGCCGTTGTTTCTTTGGTAGTTTGGCTAGTGTTGTTTGGTGCTTCGTGTGTTGTGTGGTTGTACCAGTTGCGGTGGAGGAACTTGGCGAGTCTCTACTTGTCGAGAGGTTGTTTTATTTTTCTGTAACCCGTCTGGGTTTTTACTCCAGCGAGAGGTTGTTTTATTTTTCCGTAACCCGTCTGGGTTTTTACTCATGTTTAATTGAAATATAATTGATAGTTGTCCTGCCGGTTTAGTTTCAAGGACGTGACTAGACAGACAGTGGTAGCTGATTTGTCTAAATCAACTACCACTCTATCTAAGAAGGACACAATCCACTTATACTTTAAATACAATTTTCTCTTAAACTACTCATCCGATCTATGATCCGATTGCACTGTTGTATTCGTAACAATTAAATCTTTATAACAAGATCTTACATGATTATATTTTCATGAAAAATTATAAATTACTTTTATCATATATCTAAATTACTTTTAGATTTCACTAAATTACTTCTTAGACATATAAAAGTAAATTCAATAAAGTCTAGAAGTAATTTACATATATTATAGAAGTAACTTATAAAAAAAAGTAACTTTAATGAATGCCTTTTTTCATCGTACGAGAAGTCATATTTTTATCCCTACAACGAATTTAGTTACTTTCATTTTGTTTTAAGTTACTTTTATAATATAATATATGTAAATTACTTTTAGACTTTATTGAGTTTACTTTTATATGTTTAAGAAGTAATTTAGTTAAATCTAAAAGTAACTTCTATATATGATAAATGTAACTTACGTATATAATAAAAGTAATTTACAAATATAAATATTTTTTCATCATAATATAATCATGTAAGATCTTGTTGTGAAGATTTAATTGTAACAAACATAATGGTGTAATCGGATTGTAGATCGGATAAGTAATTTGAGAGAAAATTTTGTTTGAAGAGGAAAAATGACATGCATGTCTATTAAAAAAATGCATGCATGTAGTACGATGTAGTAAACTCCACGTCTTCTCCATATTCAGGTATCACCGGTTAACGCAAAAATGAGAGGCCTCTCCGAATAGATTTTACGTTTCAAAAACTATTCGATCCGGATAGAGAAACCCCCCTTCCTCCCATTTACCGGCGGTTTTGGGCTAATTATAGAGATTAATCTCCTAATGAGGACTGAGGAGACGGGCCCAGCCTGTCACGTGAGGAGCACACGATGGAGTTAGCTACTGCATGTAGAGGCCATGTCACTCTGTAATTGGCCCAAAATGGTTCAAGAGATTAGTTTAATAGTATAGCCAACTATCAGCTCTAAATCATTTATAGTCAACCTAATAGTCATTCATATAAGAGCACCCGCAATGGTAAAGTAATGTGCTCTCTATAAAACATGTACATCTCAGCAATATACTCGATTAATAGTAAACCACCTTAATAGTATGTCTACATTGGTATTTATAGCTCTCTCATGCATTGCCTCGTTTTTCTCTATAGACTATCTCTAAGTTAGTAGATAGCTTTGCTCTCTCTCTTCATTTAATACCTTTCAAGTAGGAAAATATGCTGACATGGATTTCTTGTAGAGAGTATATAGATAACCATTGTGGGTGCCCTAATAGTTAATTACAAATATATACTATATCATTAATAACTGGTCCCATATATCATATACACATAGTGTTCTAGAGTTCGTGCTGCAGCTGGCTACAAATCTATAGCCCCTGTCGGCTATTTTTTTTTTCATCCTCTGCGAACCGTCTCACCGGAAGGAAGCTCAGCGCCATGCTCACCGGAAAGAAGCAGTCGTGCCGTCCGGTGCCTCCTGCACCCTAGTGTTAGGGATTTGGGCTCTAGAGGATGGGGAATTTGAGGGAAAGAGAGACGAGAGGAGGGAATTATTTAATTTTTTGCTATGTCATCCGTCGGAGTGTCATGTGAGATAACTCTGGAACAAAACTGGCTATAAATGGGAATGAGGGGGTTGTGTGTCCGGACTGAATAGTTATGGTGAAAATGCTCGATCGGTCGACTGGGGGAGGGGGGAAATCGGTCGCTCCCCCTCCCCCACGCGCGCGCCCCGCTGGACCCACCCACTTGTCCCTACACTTGTTTCACAAAAGATGTTTCACCTAGTGTACTTATAATGTCTCACTATGTATAGATCTAATGTTGCAGTGAATTAAAATATTCTTTTGCAACAAATCACCCACATATTTTAGAAACCCTTTATTAAGGGAATTCGTTTCATTTTTTTGTTCCACCCAAAATATTTCATCTAGTGTACTCATAATGTTTCACTATGTATAGATCCAATGTTGCAGTGAACTGAAATATTCTTTTACAACAAATCACCCATATATTTTGGAAACTCTCTATTACGGGAATTCGTTTCATTTTTTGTTCCACAAAAAATGTTTCGCCTTATATAATGTTTCACTATGTATGGATCAAATGTTGCAGTTAACTGAAACATTCTTTCGCTATTTGCTGAAACCTGTTTTTATATAAGGCGAAACAACGCCCGATTTAAACGATTGAAACATTTTCGATCTACTTAGTGAAATAATTCCGATATACCTGGTGGAACATCGTGCAACATTTAAAAAATATCAATAATAAGCTAAACTTTTTTCGTCGGAATATATCCATGGGTGGTTTTGTTTTGAAGATTTAATTGCAACAAACTTAATGGTGCAATCGGATCATGATTTGGATAAATAATTTTAAAGAAAAATTAGTTTAAAGTGGTTTTGCACATATGGGTGGCGCTGATGTCAGCGCCCGCTTTTTGGAGATTTGTATCGGGCGACCGATCCCTAGTCATCCCCTAGTTACGGGGTGTGACTTGTTTGGAATTAGAGTTGAGGAGGCTAAATCATATTTTCGTTATAGTTGGAGGGGGGGGGGGGTCAATCGGACTTGAGCCTTATTTCTTTATGCTTAGCTCTCTGTTAATATTCAAATTTCGATGGATTTAAGTTTGAGTGTATTCTTCAACCGTTTTTGTTATAGACGTCGAATTATTTTTTTAGCCTGATTAGTCGAATTTATGGCTGGTTGATCTACATCAAGATTTTTCTTTTGCAGGGAAAATAGACTTTATTAAATCACACGGGACCTATTACAATCGTTTTTGATAAATTATGAGTTCTCAATATTTCAAAAGCCCATCTCAGCACAAATCTTGACAAACAAAGCTAGAAGGGACTATTACTCAGATTTGAGTGGGTTTGAGTACAATTCTGCTTTGCGGTTATCGAAAGGGACAATTACTTATTTGACTCTATTTTAGAGTCTAAATATCAATTTGGCCCTACTTCTTTTAATTTGCTTATTTGACTCCGCATTTGTAAAACGAAGTTACCGTTTGGTCCTATTTCCATTTCGCTGTTAGGATTTCATTTAGAAAAAAAAGAAACAAAAATTCAAATCATATTCAAACTGACCAAAAATACGCTTGAGGACTCTACCCTATCCATTCAATCCCTAAATTTTATTACTACTTCAGAAACAGGCACATGATTTATGCAATTTGCTACACTGATTGTTTTTGAAAGATCTAACCTAACAGAAATTATTAGGACAAGCTATATGCGAGATATATTGATGGAATGATGGGTCATAAACCGGAGAACTTAATTACTGAACTTTGGAAGCCATAGTCAACGTGGGCCCATATTTGAAGTGACTTTAAAAAGGAGACAACAGTGCATTACCCCAGTTAATTTATTTTGGAAAAAATACAAATTACCCCCCGAACTATCGCGCCTGTCCGAATTACCCCCATGAACCACAAAACCGGACATTCTTCACCCCCAACTATGCAAACCGGACGAATTACCCTCCTCGAACCAATTCAGAGCGGTTTTGTCCAACGTGGCGCACATGTGGCAATCCGGTCAGCCTTTTTTTAATAAAAAATTGTAGGACCCACCTGTCATACTCTTCTTTCCCCTCTCTCTTTATTCTCTCACTCTCTCTCGCTCTTTTCTCTCTCGCCGCTCACGCAGCGCGCACGTGAGGACGGTCGGCGAGGACGGCGCGGGGACGGGCGGTCGGCATGGGCGGTCGGCGACGGAGGAGGCATCGAGCGCGGCGGTGACAAGGCGAGGCAGCGGTGGAGGCAGCGAGCGCGGGGAGGCAAGCGGCGGGGTAGGGCAGTGGAGGAGGCGAGCGGCGGCGGGAGCTCGCGCTGCTCAAGGCGAGGCGAGGCGGCGGTGGAGGCAGCGAGCGCGGGGAGGCTAGCGGCGGGGCAGAGTGATGGGGCAAGGCAGTGGAGGAGGCAAAAGGCGGCGGGAGCTCGCGTTGCTCGAGGCGAGGTGGCGGTGGAGGAGGAGGCGAGTGGCGGCGGGGTGTGGCGAAGGAGGCAGCGGCAGCGGTGGAGGTAGCGAGCGCGGAGATGGGACCAATCGCGTCGCCTGTCGTCGTCGCTCGCGCCGCGCGCCGTCGCCATCTCCCCTCGAGCCCCGCCAGTGCCACGCGCCGTCGTCCGTCGCCCGTCGCCGCCGTCACCTCGAGCCCCGTCCGCGCGCCGTCACCCCGCGCCGCCTCGCCTCCTCCGCCGCCACGCTCGCCTCCTCTGCCGTACCCCGCCTCCGCCGCCTCGCCTCGCCTTGAGCAGCGCGAGCTCCCGCCGTCGCTCGCCTCGTCCACTGCCCTGCCCCGCCGCCCTGCCACCTAGTCCCCGCGCGCCGCCGGCCACCGCGCGCCCACGACGAGGAGGAGGAGGAGCCCGCGGTGGCGGCGGTGTTCCACCGCGCGGAGGAGGAGCCCGCCGCCCGCTGTGTGTCCCCGTGCGCCCGGTCGGCCTCCGCCTCCGTCGCCTCCGTCTCCGTGTCGACGTCCGCGCCGTCCTCGCCGACCGCTCGTCCCTGCGCTGTCCTCGCCATGCGTGTTGTGCGAGCCGCGAGAGAGAAAAGAGCGAGAGAGAGAGAGAATAGAGAGAGAGGAAGAAGAGTATGGCAGGCGGGTCCTGCATTTTTTAATTAAAAAAACGCTAACTGGATTGCCACGTGTGCGCCACGTTGGACAAAACCTCTCTGAATTGGTTCGAGGGGGGTAATTCGTCCGGTTTGCATAGTTGGGGGGTGAAGAATGTCCGTTTTTATGGTTCATGGGGTAATTCGGACGACCGCGATAGTTCGGGGGATAGGGGGTGGGGGGTTATTCATACTTTTTCCATTTATTTTTAACGGCAGTCTTTTGTCTATTTGGCACCTTGTTAGGATCGTTCAAAAACTTGTCACGTCACAATTCGAGATTTCGATAGCAAAGGACACATGTACGTTTTTTTAGAAGCCTTATAAAAAATTGTTATAAATAACACAATAAGATGGTGAATATATTAGTAGTAGCATTTTTGTCTATGGTGAAGTTCTGGAGTAGTGCTTTCTGAAAGATAAACACATTTGCAAACACATCATCGCCTATGCGTCAGCATTGCAATTTTCTTAGTCAGTACACACGTAAATGCAAACCAATGAGCAAATGTAATAATATATGAATGTTCCATTGCACATTCCGAATACACAACTGATCATGTTGCAACAAGTTACCAAGAAAGAATATTTAAATTTAAGCCAAAAATTTAGTTTCGGTGATATATTTGGCCCCTCTTTCATCTACATAGTTTAATACTCTGATCCCTTGGTGTATTCTGATACAAGTTTCGAAAATAACGATGAATTGTCTTCCAGAAGTTTTGCTGGCGAGTCATCCTCTGCGATTTTACCTGTTTACAACAACATGGAATTAAAACGGGAGAACCAAGCTATTAACCGTTGGCTACTAATTAAACACAAAGCACATGACTAACCATTGTCCAGAAGAATGACCTTCTCACTATCAAGAACAGATGCGATCCTATGTGCTATTGTAATCACTGTGCATTCGAAAAATTGTTGCTTCAGGGTTTTCTGAATCAAATTGTCAGTTATTGGATCCACTGAAGAAGTTGCTTCATCCAAAACCAAGATCTTTCGCTTCTTTAGAACTACCCTTCCCAAACAAACAAGCTGGCGCTGACCTGCACTCCAGTTGTTGCCATTTTCTGTAACTATATTTCATATTAAAATATCAGTTATGACTTATGAGTTTGACACTGTGGAGCAATGCATTATAGCTTTCTGATATAGATATAAAACCTGCAGAGTCAAGCTTGAGCTCATTCTTTCTAACTTCATCGCCAAGATGACAAGAGTTCAATGCCTGGATAACACAACAAATATAAGTTATGCATTAGTTTGACAGGTGCACATTGAAGAATTAAAATGTCAGTAAATTAAAATTAAAAGACCTCCCAAATTTGTTCATCGCTGTACTCCTCCAAAGGGTCAATGTTATTTCGTAGGGTCCCCTCAAACATCACAGGATCTTGTGGAATGATACTCAATCTTGTCCGTAGGTCGTGTAGTCCAATGGTGCAGATATCAAGGCCGTCTATCAACACTTGCCCAATAGATGGCTCGACAATACGGAATAGCGCTTGAATCAAGGTTGACTTGCCACTGCCAGTTCTTCCAACGATGCCGGTCTTCAACCCTCCGGGTAAAGTGCAAGTAAGGCCTTTCAAAACAAAAGGCAATTGTGTTGCATACCTTACCTGCATCACATACAAAGCACTTAGAGGAAAAAATAACACTTCACCAGAAATTTCTGCATTAGGTGTTGTATGTTTTCCATGTTAAGAAAGAAGATATAGTGTTGTGAGGGTATTTCCACAGTGGTATGCTGGAAGTCGTACAAAATAGTATATTATGAAAGAGGATTGCAACTCTACAGTACTAGAAAAAAAATCTGCATGCCAATTTTTGTGGAATAACTTCGATATAAAATTAATTTAATAACACACTGTTTTTCTCAGAAAATATTATGAATAGAAATGTTGAGAGTTCTAATCAATAATTGACATAGCTCCGACATTGTTAGAAGTGAACTTATATAACAACATAGAGTTCAAGAGACAAACATGGAGGTTGCGAAGCTCAATTTCACCATTTGTCGGCCACTGGCAGTTTGGTCTACTTTTTGATATTGTAAGGAGTTGTTCAGAAGGAATAAACATGTATTGAAAAATTCTTTCAACGGATATCATTCTATTTTCCAAACTACAGAGCACTGCAATAGCCCACCCTTGCAACATGTTCAGACTTAATCCATAAGTGACTGCAAGACCAGCTGTCTCTGTGAGAATACAATAAAAATAAAAATAATAGTTAGCAAGGATGGTAATACACATAAAGAACTAATTTGATCGGACCAATCAAATTAAAGCCCACTGTACTTACTTGGGTCAATTAGAGCAGCTGGCAAGGTGACCAGAAGTACCAAGGCAAATGCGAAGATAAAGGATGAAAGAATGTCCAAGCGAAAGCACAACCATTCCATTGAAGCAGAATTATATAAACTTGGTCTAGATAAATTATCCATGAAATGACTGACATAATTGATAAACTGTCTTTCCTTGCCAAAGCATCTAATAATATTTGATCCAGCTACTGATTCAGCAAAATGTTGCATCAGCGGAGCTCTGCAAACTCCAGTCAACCTCTGCAACTCCCTAGCACCATCTATGTAATATTGCTGAAGGGAAGGAATTATGGTGATTAAAAATAAAAACAAAACATGAGTCGTATTGAAACCAATAATGCCATAGGACATAGTTATAATTTTGAAATATGATTACAATTATTATTGGTTAATAGCATATTTTAAGACTAAAAGTTTGATTGTTCAGAAGAACATCGGAAATGCACAAGTTCTCCTATATACAGTAGCATCAACCTAGAAATTTTATTGGGAACATTTTTGCCAAGAAAAGAATCACATCATATATGTACCTCATGTTTTTATTATGTATTATATTTAATTGCTTTGCCATGCCTTTAAATTTCAAATTAAATCTGTGAAAAGAAAAAAACACTGATTTTCAATTTTCAATTGAATCTGTGAAAAATTGTCAATAATGTCATGAATTAATGTATTTTTCCTTCCACATACTTAAAAATTATAAACTGGAACCAAAAAATGGCATCCAACATAAAATATATAATAAAAAGAATACCTGATACCACAGAGATGCTGCAATAATTGGGACAAAAATTACGAAGACTGGCCATGCTACCCGTGACATTAAAATAATTGTTCCAAGAAGTTCGATAACAGGAAATAGAACATATCCCATCAGGTCAAAAATGCTGGTATCCACTGTGCTTTGATCACTAGAAGCCTACAATTTTGTTTCAACTTTCATGATTAATTGAATATGAATAAAAATTCTAATGGTATTCCAAGGAGATAACTTCAATTTTCTCATTAAAATAAAGATGGTGAAGGTAAATTACTTACTCTGTTCAAGATTCGACCGCTAGGAGTGGAGTCAAAGAAAGACATTGAAGCCTGGAATATGCATCGATGCATCTTATCAAATAGCATCATTGCAGTCTTACATCCAGCCATGACAAGAAGATGGGATCTTATGAAAATGAATAACGAGCTCACAAAAGCTAACGCAACATATACAAGTACCATTTTCAAGCTATTGACTGGAGGATTCACATCTTTGGATATTGGAGCAGCCCAAGCCATCCAAAAATTGCTTCCAATTTGAAGAACTTGAAAAATTATCTGAGCGAGCAAAATAAGCGGCACAAGTGCTCCACCATATGCCATTGTAATATATTTCCAATAGACAGAAATCCCAACCCGCCCTTTCTCCCTTTCTTCTTCTTGTACCAACTGACCATTTTGAACAATCCCTTCTGCTCCTTCATTTTCATCCTTTTGCTTATCTTGTCTGAAAAGCATACTTCCACTGTCACCAGGAATAAGACTACTTTCGGGATTGCCACTTGAGTGTTCTAAACTTTCTAGAGTAGAAATGTCATCCTTATGGGAAAATACTAATTTTGTGAACTCTTCTCCAGAATTAAGTATTTCAGCGTAATTCCCAACTTGTATTATTTGTCCATCTTTCATGACCTGGAACAACGAAATGAATTGACAAGGTAAAACGATTGTTGCGAGTAGAATAAATAAGTAGATTTGATAGTTGTTGGAAGCTCACCATGATAGCATCGGCTGATGGCAAAAATTCGACATGGTGGGTAACATACACTACAGTTTTTGAAGCTAAGAGTCCAAGTAAGCACTCCTGAAAAATACAAGGTCGTGTTGAATAACTTTCATACAGTAGATATACTCTTGAACCCTGAATATTGTTCAAGAACAGGCTACCTAAAAACTGTTTAGCTGAAACATACAAAAGATCTGATTAAGACATTAGGTTTCTGTCCACACAATAAACTATGCAAAGAGATAAACTGCTATTACTTATTTTGGAAGTTGGGAAATGAAAAATCAAACAAAACAAACATGTTCTATTCGTCTAAGGATTTGATAACGGCACTAGCACTGACAACTGAAGAAGGTTAAAAAAAAACCCCCTAAATTGACTGGGAGAAAATGGCGTTGAAATCATATGATGTAAATATATATTTTGTAGTATTAGAAGTCTTAAGTACCAACAATAAGTTATTAGTTTAAGCATTCAGTGATGATTTACACACATATAGAAATAGGATTTAAAGATTTGTTTTGAAAAATACCTTGAACAAGTGCAACCCAGTATGAGCATCAACAGCACTGAAGGGATCATCAAACAGAAAGATATCTGCATCTTGATACAAAGCACGTGCAATTTGTATCCTTTGCTTTTGTCCGCCACTTAGGTTAATGCCTCTCTCTCCTATAATTGTCTGATCACCTAATGGTAATATTTCCAAGTCCTTTTTAAGACAGCATGCTTCAAGGACCTTTTCATACCTTTCCCTATGCAGTTTTGTGCCAAAAAGTATGTTATGTTCAATTGTCCCACTCTGTATCCATGGCGATTGGCTAACATAGGCAATCCTACCACATGTTTGAACATCTCCTGATAACCTCGGTATCTCACCGAGTATGCATGACAACAAACTTGATTTTCCAGATCCAACAGTTCCACAGATAGCAACCCTCATTCCTTGTCGAATACGGAAGTTCAAATTTCGGAGAGTAGGAACCTCAGAAGATGTGTTCCAAGAGAACTGACCGTTCCTCACCTCAATCGATACATCAGTTGTACCTCTTGGAAGTTTAGTTACAACATCGCTCGATAGTTCCTCGAGGTGCATAAAAGAGCATATCCTGTCAAGTGATACTTTTGTCTGGATGATCACAGAGACTGTGTCTGGGATACTATTGATTGGTCCTTGTAGCTGCCTAAACGTTGCTAGAGCAGACAATACTTTCCCTGTTTCTAATGGAATGCCTAGAAGCAAACAAGTTCCAAAGGTGACCATAGCAATAAAAGCAGGAGCTCCAAAGAAGACAGATATAAGCATAGCTGAGGTGTATACATCTTTCTTTAGCCAATGCATCTCCTCCTTCCTCAACTCCATGATCTTCGACAAGAAGACCATTTCCCATCCTTGAAGCTTGAGAATGCGCATGTTCCGCAGCATCTCAGACATAGCCCTCATTCTAGCATCCTTGGCATCCATCATTTTCTCTTGGTAATTTTGCTGGATCCTCCCTATAGGTAGATTTGCTAACATTGTCAAAACAGTGGCAGCAAGGGCTGCAAATGCTGCCAAACCAAGAGTGGAGTATAGGATCAGCATTGCTAGAATAACCTGCACAGGAAACAACCAAAGCTCATGCATGGACGAATTGAAACCCGCGACACGCACCGCATCAACGCTCACGGCATTGATGATCTCTCCACTTGAAATGCTTTCCCTGGACTGATTTGAGAGGGAGAGACCCTTTTGGTAAATGATGGCGACAAGAGCTGAGCGCACCCGCACACCAAGTTGTTGCGATCTGAAGAGCAAATGCCTTGATGAGAGGCCTTTGATGAACTGCGCAACAACAAAACTCAACACCAAAATGTAGCCTTCTTTAGCGGTCCGTGGACTTCGATTCAGGTAATCAACAAAGTACTCAATCAGGTATGGACCAACATATGAAGAGACAGTACGGAGTAAGGCACAAACTGCAGTGAAGAGGATTAATTTCCAGGTTGTAAGAACAAGAGCTTTGACCAGCTTAATTGTTGTAACACCGGTGTACTTCCCTGAACCAGAAACTGAGATGAGCTTCGCCTCAAAGTTAGGGAGGATGCCTTGAACACTGTCATTATCATCCAAAGTTGGCACATCATCAAGATCTAGTGCTTTCCTCCTTCCAAGATCAAGTAACGGCCCCATCCAAGAAAAAGTGATAACACTAAAGAATCCAGCATCTGTGAAAGCTGCTCTACTGCCTGTGGCCTTAGACGAGGAAGAAGCTGCACGGTCCAATAGTGGCTGATCCATGATAAACTAATAACTCCTGAACATAGAACAACAAACTTTAGCAAGTTACAACTGATTATTTATGAGAAAGAAAAGTATAAAAGTGTTAACGTAAAAATGATAATTTAAGTCTGTTCATGGACATTAATAGGATTACAGAAAGTATAGCTAATTTAAAGGAAACAAACATAACTGTGAGTGTTAAAGCCATATGTTGCATGAAAAACATCCGGATGAATCCGCACGATACCACAGAATTCCATTGTCACACATGGTCAAGATGATATCACAAATCTCCAAGTAAACAAAATCGAGACCTAGATTACATAAATAGCATATGTAATATGTATGTAATCTAATATGTGCTAAACTTCCTAGAAGTAAAAAAAAAAGAGGATGTACCGAACTTTTAAATTTAGCAATTGAGTTTTTTTTTAAAAGTATCCGATCTCACCATGCCCATCTCAGCATTGAAGCACAGACTTAATAAAAATAGCAAAATTAGTGCAACAGACTGAAAATGAGAATATATATTACGCATTACTCCTTGCATACCTCAAAAAGAAAGAAAAAAAAAGCACGCATGTGGAATAGGATGGTGTCAGCCACAAATCGAAATCTGTGCGAAATTTTTGTAAATTAACCAGATACTGGCTATTCGGTGGGAGAGATGGAGGAGAAGAGAAGTTGGCGATCTCGAGCCCTCCGGCAAAGAGGCGGTGGTGGCGGCGGCGATCACGGAGAGCCTATAAATGAATGCGGCGGTGAGGGTCTTGAGCCCACCAGCGGGGCTAGCGCAACGGTGCCGAGCCGACCGAAGAGGAGCACGGACGTGCCGCTGGTGGCTGGGGCAAGCCGCCGCCGCCGCTGCCGCCACGGCCATCCGGGTGTCTGCGTGGTTTTTCTCAGTGATCAGAAGTTGGAAAGAAGCCGCGTCTCACTGAAAAATTTGATAATTTAACGCTTTTTTCCGTTGCCCAAATTAATTTAATTGACGTTTGTAAAGATCGCCGCCACGGCCATCCGGGTGTCTGCGTGGTTTTTCTCGGTGATCAGAAGTTGGAAAGAAGCCACGTCTCACTGAAAAATTTGATAATTTAACGCTTTTTTCCGTTGCCCAAATTTTAAGGAGTGTTAAATTATCAAATATCTCCGTCTCGCTCGACTCACGTGACCAAAGGAGACGGAAATTACCTATGCTTGCGGTACGTGGGTTTTTTCTAATTTCTCAAAATCTTATAAAACACATTTGTTTGTTATAGATTTGGGTGGCGAGTTTATTAACGACTTAAAAGTAATTCCTATCACAATTATGAAAAAAAAGCTGTTATAGAACTTATTTGCAAATCTGAACCCCGGTTTTCTTCACAGTTCACACGCTGTACGACCGTAGCATTATCAATGTCATGCCTAAAGGTTATTTTAAAATTGAGTAAATTTGGAGTTTATTTCAAACAAAACAATAAAAATGTTAGTTAAGTTCAAATTAGTGCGGATTACGGATTTCACATATGTAACGCTTGAAACCAATATCATAATCCCCGCTTGTTAGTAACGGTTCCCTTCTTCCCCTTACCATCTATTTTCCTCCATGTCATAGGCAACTAACTAAATATCTTCAACGAATGTTCACTTGCTCTCGTTCTAGGGGTGGGGGTGGGTGGGCATGAGTTGCGCAGGCAGCCGCCCTCCTATTCAACCGGCGGTGATTTGGAGAACTGGTCCGGTATTTCACGAGGCTCAAAATAGTTTGTAAGGGGTAAAAAACAATATTAAAATTCGGGGATTCGTGAATTAAGAGCAGGTTTATTAGTGTAGTAAGCTACCAGCGATAGTATTTGTCCGTGTCTGATATAGCCATCAAGAGAGAAGCTCATGCGATGAACTAGCTGTTTCGCTAGCTAAATGGAAATAAACAAACATTTAATTCATGCATGCACAACCAAATTGGCATGATCAAAACTAACCACCATCCTTGTAGCTATGTGTGTTGCCTGTGCTCTAGCGTGTTAGATAGGGAGAAAAACAGAAATACATGCAAACTAGATCGTGGAGATATGTCGGAGGCCCACCAAATACGTAGGTATCACCCATATCAGCTGCAAGCGAGCAGTAGAGGCTCGTTTCTTACACTATCGCCCGGTGACAGATCTAGCGTCCGCTTTTTCTCTTTCTTCTTTTCTCCCTCACCCACATAGGATTTCGCTAATGTGGAATAACGTATAGCCTACTGACTCAACCTTATTATATATACCTGCTCTAAGAAGTGTAAGTCGCCATCTTCCTCCTCGTACATCGTAATTCGTTGTAAAGAAACCACCTCAACAAAAACAAACACGTGTGTTTCCATCCAAAACTCATCCCACCAGTAAAACCAGATGGATGAAACTCAAGCCTTGCAAATTTTCCTTCTAATCCCTTTGCAAAGTAAGGGTATAGCGCTAGTAAAATTTAGAAGTTGAGTTAAGTAATATGGACTATTTTTTTTGAAAAATGAAATAAAATTAAGATCGTTCTCGAATCGGGTATACATGGATGAATACAAAGGAAAAGAAAAAAAAGGACCAATGTGAAGAATCAAAATAGAGATGACAAAGTCTGCAGGCATATACTTACCTGCTAGCTTCTTCGTTATGCCTAAAAGCCTAACAAATCGATCAGAAGATCGGCCGCTCCCCTTCTCAACGCCGGCTGCTGCCTGCTATGCGCCGTGCCAAGGCCAGCCGTCTTCCACGGGGTTTCGTAGCAGAAGGGGTTCATATGTACTGCACTCCTGTATTTGTGTGGGGATTTTTTTATTACAGTACAAAGTACAGATTTGTTTAGGCTAATCCAATAGAGGTAATAATCATATAGAAGGAAACCATTGTATTCGTACCCTTCTTATGTGGAGAATTAATGCCCCTTTTATTTGACACCTACAGCTACACAAAAGTATGATTAGTCAATTAATGAAATATAATCGTACCTGCCATATATTGAAATCCAAATTTACAGCCGTGGGCCTATTTGGCAAGTTTAGAGAATATTGCGAGTTTATAGAAGGGAAATAGTAGTGTGGCTGCATTCGGCATGTTTGGCGATGGAGAGGACTGATAGTTTTGAGAGGAAATTAATTAATAGTAAGATTAGAATTTGATTTTTAAGTCTAGCATGTTTTGCGATGAAGAGGATGGAAAGTTTTGATGGGAAATTGATTAATACTAAGACTAGAATTTGACTTTCAAATCCTAGTATAGCATGTTTGGTACAAGTGGTGCGAAGTGATGGAAATTACTACTCCGTCCCATAATATAACAAACTAGTACCGAATAGGACACTTTATAGTATAACGAATCCGGACATGCTTCCTGTCCAGATTCGTTGTACTATGAAGTGTCACATCTGGTCGGAGGGAGTATCTTCCTAGTTTCTCTATAAAAGTTTGGTTAGTCCCTTCGGATACAAGAATGAATATATATGTCTAGATTCATCAACATCTATATGAACGTAGATCCAATCCCACAACCGAAAAAAAGTACAATTTCCTATAAAGCGAAAAACAAAAAAAATCCATAAAAAATAAAAAAAATCTAGAAAACATCTAGAAAGGATTTATATTTGTCGTTTTAGTAGTCCATATATATCTCTTCTCTATCTCTAATCTAACTAAAAAATGCGCGGAAAGATAAAAACGGTTTAAAAAAACACGTGAGGAAAAAATATCAGAAAAAAGCACAAAAGAAAACACGCTAGAAAAAAAGGTTTTCGTAGTAAAAAAAACACGCGAGAAAAAAATATTTCCATCGTCTGTAAAAAAGCAAAATAAAAAGCATACGAGGAAAAAATTGTCAGAAAAAAAGGCTAAATTGATGGACGCTTGGTTGGTTAGGATCATCGATTTTTTTTTCATCTCCTAGGCTTTTGTTTCATCATCTATTCTCCTGTATTGGAGACCCTGCACACCTCTGTAGTCAATTATCATACTATTTTTTGTGAAGTATAGCTACTATTCTTGATAACATATTATATGGAAATAATATTAGAAAATAAACATATTGTAATTGTTATTTAGAAAAGAGTGCACAGTGGCTCTATTTTGTGTAGACTTGACCATGCGAGTCAGTGTAGGATTTGATTGGTTGTAAGAATGAGATTAAAATAATATTTAAGATTATATGCATGTTGTCACATGAATAATCCAATTATTTTAGGTAAACCAAACATCGGTAAGGTTGCCATCATCGAGGTTGGGCCATTACATTTAAGATGTTCTAATTTTCTAATTTTCTGATTGTCATCAATATGGTTATGTATGAAAAAGTATATTATCATTAGGTTTTTTCATCCGTTGCAACCACAGGTATGTTTGCTAGTATATATAAAGAAACTCAGTCGGACGTCCATGGTAGAGTGAAATGTGGAAATCAACTAAAACAGGGGAGAAAGAAATAGAGTTGGTTTCAACTTTCAAGAAAAGAAAAGAAATAGAAAAATACACACAACAAGGGAAAGACGAGTTAAAAGAACTGGGACTTTTCCTCACAAAAATAAAAGAAGAAATCGATTGGGACTTAGGGGTTTAGAGTTAGCAGTGATCTCTACGATCGATCTGTTGCATTGCCACCTCGCTCGTGCTCTTACTTTAATCTGTTGCATTAACACGATTGATTCTCAAACTTTGGTTTCAAGAAAGAAAAGGACTCAAATTCACATTGGGTTCTATATATAGGCCTTGTTTAGTTAATTAGTTCCCTAATTTTTTTTTCTAAAAAACATCACATCGAATATTTAGACACATGCATGGAGCACTAAATATAGATTAAAATAAAACTAATTGCACAGTTAGGGGGGAAATCGCGAGATGAATCTTTTGAGCCTAATTAGTCCATATTAGCCATAAGTGCTACAGTAACCCATATGTGCTAATGACAGATTAATTAGGCTCAAATGATTCGTCTCGCGGTTTCCAGGCGAGTTATGAAATTAGTATTGTCATTCGTGTCCGAAAACCCCTTCCGACATCCGGTCAAGCATCCGATGTGACACCCAAAAATTTTCTTTTCGCGAACTAAACAGACCCATAATTTGTCACGCCCAGAAATTCACTAGTAATTTCCGAACTAATTTGCGCATAAAATTCTTGTCCAGGAATCAACCGAGGTACACAAACTGACAATTTAATATACATATTCATCAAAAGAACTAAAGCGATAAATACTTACTGAAGAGGCACTTAGTCCTCACAACGAAGAAATCTGCAGCGGAAAAATAAAAATAAAATCTGGCAAAGCTTCGGCTCCACTCCCACAGCAGCTCAACTGGGGTATAAGCTAAGCATCTTCTCCTTCTGGATCATTTTTCTTCAACTGAGATTTGATTGATTATTGCAAGGTGAGTACATGGAATACTCCGCAAGCCACACAGCAAATATGCAAGTGCACACGGATACCAAAGGATGGCATAATATAGGCTCATTTGCAAAAGCAGCATTTAGCAAACATTTAGGAGTAGTAAATAAGTAGAGTAATTAATCATCAATATTAATCAACACTGAATAGCACACCCATGCTGCAGGCCCAACCAAACCTGAACAACCAACCCCGGTCGTACAGATCAAACCTCTAAACCAGGAATTTACCATTCCAAACCAGGAGTCAAATTAATTATCACATTATTATCATTAATGAGTAGTGTGGGACTAATCACGAAAAACATTGCTCAACCCACCCATAACCGCGGGCATGGCTATTCAAATAGTTTTACTCTGGCCAGAGGTGTACAAATTTACCCACAAGACATAACTCCACAATATGTCACCATATCACCATGTGCCCATGCTGAACATGCCACCATTTGTGTAGTTGTGACAAGACCCCTCGCATAGCTCAACTCAAAGCAGCGCACCTTTCCTGGATCATAATCACCCCCTCTACAACCAGAGGCGTGGACTCCCCAGCGACCCCCACGGACTTCTCGCCGCTTCACAGTCTAGCGCCCCACAATGAGCCTTGCTATACAAAGTGTCCAGCCGTTGCCCATTCTGGCTTGTGATTAGTACGGTTAATGTCTCACAACAGTAGCTTGCGAACCGGTCCTTAATTGTCATGAGCATGACCTTCAAAACCATGTGCTCACAACCCACCATTATCAAGTTTTAATTATCAATTATTTATCACAACACGATTAACCATCGTGAGCTACCATAAAGTATCCATCATTAAGTAATAGTGAAACATTAATCATCCCAATAGTATGCTAGTGTTTCTAAGCATGACTAAGCAATTATTCTAATATATAGTCGAACCAATATATAAAGTCCAACTAGTCAAATTATAACCCAAGGTATCAAAGAATAGGGTAATCAATGCAAATTGGCCATAACAAATGAATAGGTTCACACCACCCGGTGACATTTAAAAATAAATGCATAGTTGAAATAAATAGAGAATTTAAATATAGGAGCAACATGCTCAAATGATTGTGTTTAGGATCTGTGTGACTTGCCTTGCAATAATCGGTCTTCAATTAGTCTTCTTGAACACTTCTGACGCACTCACGAACCTTCACAACGACGGAAATGACAAGCTAACATTTATAACGGAGAAAAAACTAATAAAAACCAAATAAACAGTACTAAAAAGTAAACAAACATGTAGATCATGATTTTAGATGAATTTAGAGACTTGAACGGCCTCATTCCGACTTCATATGAATTAGTTATGAATTTTACAAAATTAATTCCAATTAAACCTATTAAAGAAAACACTATTCCAAATTGATTAAACAATTTACAAACGATTTATACTGAGATTAAAGATTAAAACATCCTCCGAAAATTATTGGAACTAATTTAGTGGATGATATATAGTAAAAAGAACTAATATGCCATTGAAAAGGGATAACATGATTTATATTGACTTTGGATGGCTGAGATTAATCTTGACCGAGTCGACCAAGATCGGATGGTTTGGATTGATCTGGCAAGCTGGCCTCACGAGATACCGACTCAACGAGTCAATTCTACGTGACACGGGATCACCGAAATGATTAACCGAAACCGGCGGCTCTGAACGGCTCTAAACTAAAGGACGACTCAACATGGACGAACGAACGAAGCACGGGGAACACCTCGTTCGAACGAACGAGCAAACGACTCAACAATGGTTGCGGCTAAACCGATGAGCTAGACACGATTCACGGTAAAACCCTGGTACGACAAACGATAGGCCGGTAGAAACCTAGGGATGCACCTACGGCTTTGCAACTCGGCTAACGGACTACGGGAAGCAAACAAACCACGATGACGATGACGTGGGATAGAGGCGGCGTTGCACAATTTGGAGCAACGACTAAGCAGCGACAGTGACACGGTTTAGCAGCGGCACGACTGCGTCAACGACTTGGCAAGGCGCGGCAGCAGCAACGACTCAACAATGACTTAGCAAGATGGCTACCGAGCTACGGCAACGCGGCAGCGACACAACGCAGCAGCAAGTGGCTCGGTCGCTGCGGTAGCGGGACGACATCGACTTTTGGCACGCACGAGCAGCAGCTACACAGCTGTGGCAGGGAGCGGTACAACGGCGGCTAGGCGGCTAGCGCAGCGGCAATGCTAAGCCAACAGCTAAGCGCGGCACGGCGGCGGCTACTCAACGACACAAACAAGAGATTAAAACCTAAACTGAGGGAACACAGATAGAAACCTCACCAAACCAAAGCGATCGGAGAGGGAGAGACGGCGATGACTACCCGGCGGCAACACACGGAGACGACGATGACGCTAGACATACAGCGGATTAGATTAGATTGGATTAATACCCTAGGAAAAAAACCTAAATCGGTGAACGGCATGGGAGCGGTGGTTGCAGGCGAACCACGGCACAATAATGCAAACGAGGGCACCGGGAGAAAGAGAAGGCGACGGCGATTCTTACCAACACTTATGCGACGACGAACAGTGAAGGAGATGGCCGGCGACGGACTCCAAAGGGCGGCGAGGTTCGGGTCCACGGCAGCGACGATTTTCCGGCGACGAGCAGCGGCAACGGATGGATGGACGGGCTTCTCCCCGGCTGCGACGCTGTGGGTGGCGACGGCAAAGCTTGGCGACGACGGAAGGAGCAGTAGGGCCTCGCCGGAGATCAAAACGCGACGGCGAACTTCGGGTTGACGGCGACGATGGAGCTCCGGTGGGTTTCGGCTACGGGGAAGGGGTGGACGGGGTGGAGCTTGACCTTGCGGAGCCGAGAGAGGCGACGGCGTAGGTCGTCGACGGCTGAGGCGGCTGCTAGGGGCGGCTGGAGCGGCTGCCGGCGGTGGACGGAGAAGACGAACGCGGCGACGGCGCTACAAGCGACGGCGGAGAGAGGGAGAGGTGGCGGCCGAAAGAGGAGAGGGAGGGAACTCTATTTATAGCCATGGGAGAGAGATATCGATCCTACAACGAGAGAATCGAAGCCGGGATTTTCTAGAGTTTGGTTTGGAGAGATAAACTCGAAAACGAATCCAAATTCGCATCGAATTCAAAGGGATAAAACCGGATTTTTGGGGGAAGAGATAGAGGAGGATAAGGGGGATATTTTGCCTCAACTAATTTTGGAAATACACGAGAGAGGAGGCCGGAGTTGGAGGGGGAAGGCGGCGGCAATGGCGGCATCGGGCTCTGTCTCCGGCCGGCTGGAGGTTAGGGGCGACTACTGTAGCAGAGGGAAGGAAAACAGACTTTCAGCTGGGCTTCTTTTACTCAGCCCGATTGAAGGAGGGACATGAAATGGACTTCGGAGAAGGGATAGAACCAGCCGAAAGGAAGAGAGAATGGACCGAGAACTAAAAGTGAACTTTTCTAGTTTCGGCCCGGAAAGGAAAAGGGTGTTTTTTTATTACTTTCCCAATTAAATTAATCACTGAAATGATCTCTAAATTGTTAAAAATACTTCCGGTGCTCTAATAATTCCAAGAAAAATTATTAAAATACTTGAACACTATAAGTATTTAAAAAAATTATAAGAAGACCATTTAATGATTAATTTAATATGCGAATCATTGCTGAACTGCTCTTTGTATTATTAAAATTAGTAATTGAGCTCTGAAAAATTCGAGAAAATTGCAGAGCGTATATTTAATTATGGAGAATTTAATAAAAATTAAATGCAGCCATGATTTATATTTAGGAAATTTTATTTCTCACATTTAACTTCACTTGTAAATTAATGAACATTTAACATAAATTCTAATAATAATTTATTAAATAATTTATAAATCATAAAACAAAAATCAGGATGTGACATAATTGTACAATCTCGGATTAATTAATTAATTTAGGGATTTGCTAGACAACTGCCGGCTAGACAATCAAAAAAAAACTCAAAAGCTTTTAAAACGCACAATATAAGTAAGAAGATAACCATATAAAATTGTAAGACCAAACTAAACTTAGTTTCGGAGTCATTAAATTAACAAATTAAATGGCTAAAAACTTTGTTCTTGAGTTTTTATTTTTTTTTCTTAACTATTTTGTTAATATTATATCTAATAATTGAAGTCGATTTTAATTAATCTTGTAATTTTGTAGGTTTACTAATAACACTTTAGCAGTGTTCAAAATACATAATCTATATATTAGCTATACAGAAATGTCCGGTTTTGAGCTTAGAACATATCCCCCTGATGAGAAATGTGTAAGAAACATCAGGAATACATGTTGTATCTGACATGAAAGAGCAACAAAGAAAATAAAAAGAAAAATATGTGATTATCTGCTATATATCCTCCTGGTTATGCATGGTTTTAGTTCTGTTCCAAAGAGTGATGTTGAACCCCCACCAAAGAACAATCTTCCCAATTCCCACAAATGACAGCAGCATTCGTACTTAGACATCCAACCAAACCACTCAAACTCATTCTCAAGCAATGCAACTAAATAAATGAAAATTTAAAATACCATATTATTTTGCCATGGTTTATTAAATATAAATTAGAAAAATTCTAAACCGTTACGAGTCATTCATGTTAAAATGCATTTTCAATCGTGTGCTATAAATTACTCCCTCCATCTACAAAAGTTAGACATATTTCACATTTGAGTTTTTCCAAATAAATTGTTTCTATTTGTAGTCTTTATTCACTTAAGGCTTTATTTAGTTCCAAACTTTTTCATCAAACTTTTAACTTTTCCATTATATCAAAACTTTCCTACTCACATCAACTTCTAACTTTTTTATTCAAACTTTCAATTTTAATCAAACTTCTAATTTTGGTGCGGAACTAAAGCCCAAGAATCTCAGTTACTACCTGTTAGCTCGGTACGACACCATTTAAGAATCTCATCAGACATCTGCAGCATTTTAATTTGTTGGGGGTGCTAATGAGCTTTCAAGATGGAAGAAAAATTGAAGGGGAAAAAAAAGAACGCATCTGGCATACTGGATGCTCAAAATCGGTGGAAGGCTGCACAACGTTTGTACTGCCCAAATTAGCAGCGAGCAGAGCCAATGAAAATCTGTAAATCCCCCACAGTAATAAAGGACATGGAAATCCCCAAATCAGCTGCAGCGAGAGGCTCTGGCGCCGTCCTCGTCATCTCCACACTACTCCTCGAGTAGTCCATCTGCACATGAACAGCTTGGTGGATAGGCAGATCGGACGGTCGTCCACGGGTGATGAACGAACAGTGTAACAGTTTTACTAATTTGTTGACAATTAGTAAAAATCTATTCGATTTTCAACTTTTTTGGGTTCAAATTTCCTGAAAACTTAGAATTTCAGTCTGCCGATTCTTTTAGGACTCTGACATCTTCATCCTTCCTCAGAAGTTAGCAACAGGCATGGGATTGCAACAGTAATTAGAATAGCTTCCTTCACTGTTCTTCGAAAAAAAAAAGAAAAAGAAAAAAAGGAGTCGAGGACGAGAAGAGAGCACACCATCAGTTTTATTTTATTAAGATAGCAGCGAGAGATGCATCAAGCATCAATCATGAAAGGTAGAGTAGCTACGATCAGGTGTTTGTAGGAAATACTCTCAATTGGCTAGCCACAGAACATAGCCCTGCGGCATGTAGTGGCAGATGGCGTCGCCACGGCTTGCCTTGAGGAGCTCGAAGTACGCACTGTCCCAGGTGGTGGTGTTGACGTGGCACACGGCGACGGCAGTGGCGCCGCCCAGGCCCACGTCGGCGACGGCGTGGAGGTCGACCCTCAGCGCCACCGCGTCGGCTGGCCGGTGGCAGTAGTACACCTCGTATAGATATGGCATAGGGTGGCACGCCACCACGGCGTCGCCGCCGATCCGGGCGACGCCGTCGGCCGCTACCACGTACCTGCGGGGCTCCCTCCCGTGCACGAGCGTGGTGACCGCGCGCGGCGCGCTGGTGCCCAGCGCCGAGGCGGCGAAGTCGAGCACCGCCTCGCGGGAGGTGGCGCAGCAGGCGCGTGGCTCCTCGCCGCCGCCGCCGGCGGCCGTCAGCTCGCTGCAGGCGCGGAGGGTGTCGGCGACCTGCGCCGCCTTGTCGGATCCAGGGAGGATGCCGAACATGGCGAGGATGGCGTCCATGGCGCGGAGGTCGAACGGCACGGCGTCGCCCTTGTCCTTGTAGATGAACCTTGGCGCCGCCGCGGCCACGCCGTGGTCGCCGTGCGGCAGCGCCAGCTTCGTGCCTTCCGGCAAGACGGCGCCAGGATGCAACTTCTTCATTAAGAAGAGCATCCCGCGCTGGATATGTATGCCTGCAGCTGCATGAATTCAAATATATATTCCATGAAAGGTTCGCTGAAATGAGTACAAAATCTACCTATATGTTCTTACCTGGATGAGCCAGAGAAGACAAGGCAGCCGGTGGAGTAGGAGGCGCAACACTACGTGGATTCCAGTCGACTGGGTAAGCAGCATCAGTGAATTGGGCCTTGTTACCATCTTGTTAACACAACAGAGTGATGGGATCAATTTGATTGCATTGCTAGTCAATGAAAATAGCACATGCATATAGCATAAAACGACTATAATATATACTACTTACTAGAATGTTGAGCAAAGATGCCCGGTGCTTTAGGAGGTGCAACACTACGTGGACTCCATTTTACCGAGTAAGCAGAATCAGTGAATTCGGCCTTCTCACCATCTTGTGAATTATGTAATAACAGAATTAATTACAGGGTCAATTTTGTTTATGGTTTAATTAACTACTAGTACTAGAGAATACCAATCCAATTGATGTAGCATAAAACAGTACTTACTTGGAGAAGCAGGGAAGGTGGCTGGTTGTTTAGGAGGCCCATCAGCACGTGGACTCCACTTGACTGGGTAAGCAGCATCAATGAAGGGAGCATTGCCATCTTGTCGATCATGTAACAGAATTAGGGGTGAATATAATTGGACTAAATTACTAGTACTAGTAAATGGGATTAAAAACCCACTATGTATAATATTCGAGGTAGAACAACCCTGCAATACTTAGAGCATCTCCAATAGCTTCTCCAAATCGAACTCTCCAAACACCCATATAGCCAACTCTCCATCTGATTTAGCTAGTCAAACTAGATGCTCTCTCCAACAGACTCTCTATTAATCCTCTCCAAAATAACAATGGACCCACACGTCAGCCTCTACTCCTCTTCTTCTTTTCTCTCCCCCTTCCTTCTTTCCCCTTTCTTTTCTTCCCATTCCCTTCCCTGATGCCGACGGCGGCCGCGCGTGGTGGCTCGATGATGCGGGGAGGCGGGAGGCGAGACAATGTCGACCTCCCCTCGAGCTGCCAGATCTACAAGGGGGCGGCGGCGGAGCTCGGCGGCGACGTCTCGCGACAATGACCTTGACGACGACCTGGGGAGACGACGACCTTGACGATGCTCGGGGCGGAGCTCGGCGGCAGTGGCGGCGACGGCTCGCGACGACGACCTCGACGACAACCCGGGGCGACGATGACCTCGACGATGCTCGGGGCGGAGCTCGGCGGCGGCGGCGGTGACGGCTCGCGACGACGACGACCCGGGGCGACGACAACCCGGGGCGACGACGACCTCGACGATGCTCGGGGCGGAGCTCGGCGGCGGCGGCGGTGACGGCTCGCGACGACGACGACCCGGGGCGACGACGACCTCGACGACGACCCAGGGCGACGACAACCTCGACGACGACCCGGGGCGACGACGACCTCGACGATGCTCGGGGCGGAGCTCAGCGGCAGTGGCGGCAACGGCTCGCGACGGATCTAGAGGAGGGCGACGGCGAGGGCGGCGGCTCGCGATGACCTCGACGGTGGCTCCCTACCGCCGCCGCTGCTCGCCATCGATTTTTGGCAAGCGGCGGTGGTAGGGATTTCAGCGGCAAAGGGGGAGAGAGAGCGAGCGGATGCAAAGAAAGAGAATAGGGAATAGGTGGGGCCCACAGATGGCTAGTGAGTTTGGCTGGCCAAATTTGGCTACTGAGGGGAAGGATTTGGCCAGCCAAATGGCTTGGCAAGTTGAATAGAGAGGCTATTGGAGTACTTTTTTTTTCAAGAATTGACAAAATTTAACTTGGAGAGTCTTTTGAAGAGGCTATTGGAGTTGCTCTTACTCGGTAGATGATGAGCAACGACCAGCGATGGCGTGGACGGATCCTGATCTGGTTTCCACTTCGCCGGGTATGCAGCATCAGCGAATTGCCCTTCTCCATCTTGTTATGTCACAGAAACACGGGTTACTTAAATGAATTGCTACTGAAAACGACAAATACAGCGTAGAAATGACAATCAAACATTCTCACTCGGCTTTTCTCAAGAAAAAGAAAATTCTTACTCGTCGGCAGAGTAGGAGAAGCCATCTTGTTATTTTGTAACAGATTAATGGAGTCAATTTAATTGATGTACTACACTGAAATGCAGATATATAGCACTTAAACGACGCCTGTCTGATGATACTTACTCAGTTGATCAACACAGTTATTACTTAATTACTAGAAAATCGGCGTGCTTATTGGCATGCTTGCTTAAGTTAGCCCGTAATTTTGTGTGTGTGGAGTATTTGTATACTGCTTAATTAGAGGTTATTTAGAACGTGAGAATTTTTAAAGCAAATAATCCGGTACTTAAAAAGTTCTATCAGCATCATACCTTTAAAGTACCCTTTTAGTGTGTTTTTAGATTTTTTTTTGTGGAATACTGAGGAAAAAACACTGCATCATACTAATATACGCTAACAAATTGATGAAGGTTGTATATTAGATGAATAGAAAAGTGTGTTTTATGAATATTTCATCTCACTTTTATAAATTCAAAAGTTTTGCCTATAAGCTGTTAAAACCATATAATTAGAAGGAAAATATGTTCATGATGTTTACACTTGCTACTAATTGTTTTATCTTTTCTAGAAATATAAGATAAAAACAAAGCCAAGTTATATGTTTCCAAATCTAACCTAACGCAAATTGTACTTATTTGGATTATTTCTCAATGACTTTTCCAAAGCAATAAATTGGTATAATAAGAAAAAATATTGCATTTTTATATTTTGATTTCTTTATACTGCACATTCCTTTTTATATATTTTTATTATTTATTTTTTTTTCTTTTAAAATAATATTATATAGGATGCTGATAACATGGCCTATGTACTTGCCTTGATTTTCACTTTAATCTACAGTAACCGTATCTGTTGTTGAGGAAATATGAATCATAAAAATGACATCAATATTGAACGTCGATTATTATTAATTTTTCCAATGTATCACAAGTTCCCAACATATAAATATGACTAAATATGCTAATAGCTTTGTGGCTGAGTTTTTTTTTTAAACTCATGGATAGCTGGTACTGCAGCTGGTTCAGGCGTTCAGTTGCACATGCGTGTGAGTGCGAATATGCAGCCGGCTCAACCGGTCAGCCCGCATTCTCTTGTGTATTTGTGCACGCACTGCCATGGGCCAAGGACCAAAGGCGGTAAGCCCATTGGGCTCATTTCATGGACTCTGACTAGGATGCCACGCTAGCTATATATAGGTGCAAAAAGTTGTTGAAAACAAAACTTGCACTATTGACATAATAAGTACTGTGATTAAATCATATATATTTTTTTATAATAACTCTAAGATATAATAATTAGATTAAACGGTTAAGAAGTTTGTTTGTAATAAGCTTTTGGTACGCGTACGTGCCGAGTGTTTACACGAGCGGAGTAATAATAATAATAATAATAATAAGCAGCACCTGCTGGAGTATCATGTCCGTGGCCGACGAACGACACCTGCAGGTTGGTGATCTTGTTGTTCGTCCTCGCCGCCTGCGAGCTGTCGTCGACGTACCGGCCGGCCTCCTTCTCCAACTCCGATGTCATCTTCGTCGTCGGGAAGCGGGCCAAGAGACTGCGCGGGGCCCGGGCCGTCGCCGCGTGCGCGCGGCAGCAGCCGGCGGAGAGCGCCGCCGCCAGCAAGAGACAGGGGAGGAAGGACGACGACGACGACGACGCCGCCGCCGCCCGGAGGCTGAAGCGGCGGCGAGCTGCGGCGCACTCGTTGCCCTTGCCCACCATGGTCTCGCCACCACCAGCTTCCTCTAGCTAAACACACGTACTGTGATCAACTCTTTGGAAACGAAATTGAAGGAAAGAAAGCTAGCTAGCTAAACGCTTGCTGCTGCTGCTGCTGCGTTTGGAGCGCGCGGCTATTTATAGGACCGTGAGCGGCGAGCCAGGCAGCCAGAGATCGATCGATCGAGCCAGCTACACATTATATTACACACACGCGTGTTGCGTATACGTGCATGCTTGCGCAGTTGCACTGCTTCCGCCTTGTGAGGCAGCTGATCAGGTGAGGGACTCGGTCGGTCTCTGGTTCTGGCTGGGTACGTCTCGCCGTGCAACAGAGCTGCACCGTACGCACTTACATATCCTCATGCGTGCACGCGTACACGTTTTCATGCTCTCTACCTAGCTATGTTGCCATACAAAAGTGACGCGACCTGCATGTCAGTAATTAATGATATATATCAAGTGAGCGACGACAAATGGGTTTTTGAAACTGAAAATCCAGAAACCACATGTTATGTCAGGCTATATATATACATAAACGACAAATTCCCAACCGCTATGCTATATATACGTGTACTCAAATACTTTATTTAATTTTATTACTAGCCTTTTAACCAAGTCAGTCATTATTACTGCCATGTGTATATATATGCAACACATTTTGTGCTCCTATTGTACTTTCTCATCTCACATCTTTATATGAATGAAGGGAAATGGTAGTTTTTAGGTGACTGAGATTTGGTGTTCACCTGCTCCCTACCCATTGGATTGAAATCCAACGTTTAGAGAATTGTCTTCAACCACTTCTCGGCGATGGCAACAGTGATGAAGAGATCCTCGCCGATCCCTTTATCTTTCTCATCGCCAGAGACATCCGATTGCGGTACATGACCTACGGATTAGAGTTAGGGTTTTGGGGCTAGGGTTGGGGGAAGCCGTGGGGTTTTGGGAAGAAAGGAGCGGTTTCTCCCAGGATTAGGGAGATGGCCTTCTGGGGTGGCCTGATCGACGATGAGCGGCGAGGCGGCGGAGGCGCTGCTGGAGACGCGGAGTTAGAGGCACGCAGGTGGGTAGGGTTGGTGGCAGGGGTGAGGGATGTCATGGGGTTTGGAGGATGTGGTCATCGGCAGTGAACCCGATAGCACCACGCCGCCGCCAGAAGATTAGAGAGGAAGAGAGAGGTGGCCGGTCTAGAGGGGGCTCGCCGGCACCGTTGATGGCTTCTGGCTAGCTAGTGAGCCATGGGGCGAAGTGCGGTGGCAGTGGAGGCCTCAGTGCTCAGTAAGAAAGCAAGGCGTGGCGATTTGTCCTGAGTCTCATGTGCGTGCATGCGAACTAGAAAAGAGAAGAATCGTTAAGGGAGAGATAATGAGTATGCACAAATCTTGATGCGATCCTAGTCGTCCAAAAAAGTGACTGAAATTTTTCGGATTTTTCATCAGTTACATTAAAGCTAGACAAGACCTTATATAAATATGTTATAAAGTATACTTGTAGCATATCTTATGTGTTACTATGATATTGGATTTTCCCCTGTAACTCACCTGTTTATGTTTTACTGGGATATATATATGTAATATGCTACAGTAGACATGCCCTGTAGTTATGACCTCACTTTATGTTGCCATACAAAAATGACTCGACATGCATGTGAACTAATCAAGTGAGCTACAAATGGTATTTGAAAACTGTCCATCAAGAAACCACATGTTATGTCATGCTATATCTATACATCTATGACAAATTCCCAACCGCTACACATTTCTAAAGCAACAAAATGCTATATATACGTACTCAAATACTTTACTTATTTTTGTTAGTAATCTTTTTTAACCAAGATAGTAACTTTCTTCAATTCAAAAATTGAAAATCAGATTGGGGAAAGCTGTATATAATACTCTCCTACCGCTTTACTCTAGTACTCTCCTACCGCTTGTACACTATAATAGTGAAGCGCAGCAGCAGAGAAGTAGCCAGTATTAATGATACTACTCAAATGTAAATATAAAAATTATAGGGACTCAATTAGAAAAGTACAAACCCAAAAATTAAAATCATATAAAAATGGAATGCTCTCGACCGGTAGGTTCCGTTTTTGCACACAGATCTTTAATCCGGCACATCAATTTTTTTTCACCAAGATATATGAGATATCACGATATAGATTGAAACCGAGAGGAGTGTCCCTGGGATCTCGGACTCAAACCGATGCCGAAAGGAGTGGTGTGTTTTATTTTCCGTTTTTAAGGAGGAATCCACTAGAACGGATACCCTCATCTCAATTGGGCGGTAAGCCCCATCTCAATCGGGCATGGCGGCCGTCACAGGCTAGAAGTCACTGATGTGAAGAGTTATCTCAATCGGGAAAATGGCCGTCACGGATGATTCTATCTCAATCGGGCCCTAAGTAAAGCCCGTCACCGATAGCTTTGACCCAGACGACCAGTCAAACTATAGCCTGTCACAGATGAACTATCTCAATCGGGCCACAACTAGCGCCTGTCACAGATGACCCTGATCTGTGACGGGCATTACCTATAGCCCGTCACAGATGAGTCATCTGTGACGGGCATTAACCCGTCACAGATGAGTCATATGTGACGGGCGTTAACTATAGCCTAAGTTAATGCCCGTCACAGATGAGTATAATTAAAAAATAAATAAATTTTATTTTTTGGCTAGCCCTCACTCGTGTGCACCCACGCGAGAAGTTCAAACTTAATGTTAAAGTTCTTTAAAGATTGGCTTCCGAAAAAGTAGTTGTAACATGTTGGTATGAGTATTCTATTAATCCTATTATGCCCTAGGCCAGGATGTCAAATTGGGGTTATTAAATGATTTCAAATGGAAAAGTCACCAAAACCAAAGTTGTAGAACTCATCGAGGTGCAAAATTTTTATTTTGATCATTTCTCCATTTGACTCTATTTAAACAATTTGAAATTTGAAATTCAAAGTTTGAAAAGTTCAAATAGAATTTTAGATCAGCGAACGACTTCAACTGAAAAAGTCATCAATAACAAAGTTGTATAACTCATCAAAATATATAACTTTTATTTTGGTCATTTTTCTATATAACATTTTTTGAACCGTTTGAATTTGAATTTGAAAATATGACAACTTCAAACAACATTTTCAAATACTAAATGATATCAACTGAAAAAGTCATCAAAAACAAAGTTAAATAACTCATCAAGATCTACAACTTTTATTTTGGTCATTTCTTCATATGACAAAGTGATAATAACATTGTTCACAAAATTGACATATCTCTTATCTGGTTTTATAAACTATAACACATATATGTAAAATTTGTGAATAATATTACTAACATTTTATCGGATGAAGAAATAACAAAAATAAAAGTTTTAGATCTTGATGAGTTATTCAACTTTGTTGTTGATGACATTTTCAATTGAAATCATTTAGTATTTGAAAAATGTTGTTTGAAGTTGTCATATTTTTAAATTCAAATTCAAACTATTCAAAAAAAAATGTTATATTGAAAAATGACCAAACTAAAAGTTGTAAATCTTGATAAGTTATACAACTTTGTTGTTGACATTTTTTTCATTTGAAATCATTTACTACCCGTAAAGTTATTCTGACTTATAAAATGAATTATTATACTGCACTAAATTATTTTGCTATAGTCAACTTACAAATATAAACATTTCATATGAAAAATGGAAAAATAGTCATCGGTGAGGGGATTTAGTTAATGCCCGATAGAGATTAAGTATATTGGCCGTCACTGATGAGTCATCTGTGACGGGCCTAATTGTTATCTCAAACGGGCCTCAAGTTGGTGCACGTCACGGATGATGGTCATCTGTGACGGGCCACAACTTGAGGCCCGTTTGAGATATGGAATGTTATCTCAAACGGGTCTAAAGTTGGTGCCCGTTACAGATGATGGTCATCTGTGACGGGCCGCAACTTTAGGCCCGTTTGAGATATGGAATGTTATCTCAATCGGGCCTAAACTACGGCCCGTCACTGATAGGTGTCATCCGTGACGGGCTTTAGTTTTATACTCATCTAACATGTCTGTGCAACCATATCTCAATTGGGTACTTTTCGGCCCGGTTGAGATGACTTCCTTGTGACGGCCCGCTATTTCTAAGCATATTAGAGCCCGTCACAGATAGAAGGATCTGTACTAGTGATCGGATATAGAGTCGGACTTTTTTTTTCGTTTCTGAGAGAGAGTCGAACTTTTTTTTTTATTTTTTCGCTATTTATTTTGTTTTGAGGAATGAAGGAAACACCTCTTTTTTACATAGTAGAGATTAAGTAGTAGAGAATCGGGCTGATTTTTTTTTGATTTTTTTTCGCCCTTTTTTACCAGAGTTGGATTCATTTTTCTTTTCGTTTATTTTCGCCCTTTTTCTGGATCGGACATATTTAGTTTTTCTTTTCTTTTTCCGGTTTTTTCGCCCGGTTTTTAGATCGGACAGATTTTTTTTTTCTTTTTTCGCCCGGTTTTTTTACGTTTGGTTTTTCTTTTCTTTTCCGGTTTTTCACCCGGTTTTTTTATCGGACCGATTTGTTTTTTTTTCTTTTTTTTTTAGTTTTTTTCGGACGATGGAAGCACCTTTTATTTTTTAAGTAGTAGAGACAGACATAGAGATCTCTACTTAAAAACAGGAAATTCCCGTCCTCCGTAAAAAAAAGAAAAAAATGTCCGACTCAAAAAAGGTAAAAAAAGAGAAAGAAAAAAAAGTCCGACTTAACGAGCGAAAAAAAGCTTCCATCGTCAGTAAAAAAAAAGAAAAAAAACATCTCTTGTCCGACTCCCGTAGAAAAAGGAAAAAAATCTCCTAGTAAAAAAACAAAAAAGTTCGTTTGGTTTTCTTTGGCACCGGTATTTTTTTCTGTTTTTTCTTTGCACGCAAAAGAGTTTTTTTATGCAGCGCACACGCTAAGCCTTTTGGTTGTTTGTCCCCTTTTTTTAACCCGATCTGTTCACCGCGCGTCTCCCAGACGCTTTTAGTTTTTTTCGTCAATCTTTTTTGTCACCGGTTTTTTCTCCCGTGAGCTTTTTGTTTTTCTCATCTGATTTTATAATCCCATCTGTTCGCTGCACGCCTCCCGAGGTGAACCCTAGCGCTGTGCAGTTGC